TGAGGCTGGTGAGAACGATGCAGAGCGCCACGTCAGCCTTTGCCAGGTAGGACGCGTAGCTGGAGAGCTGCGCGCCGGAGACGCTGGCGGTGAGGAGGAAGCCCGCGGCGAACGCGGGCGGCAGGCGGAAGGAGGTGGCTATGGCGGCCGCGATGAGCGGCTTGACTGCATACTGCACTAGGAGGCCCAGGAGGACGGGGACGGGCCTGGCGGGGAGGAGGGGAGGAGTGGGGCGGAAAGCAGTGAGCAACGGTGCTAAAAGTGCTGGACAGCCAGAGTGGAGACAGTTGGAAGAGCGGGAATGGGAGACAGCTGACGGAGCCAGATGAGGAGGCATTTGATCTCATTCTATTGCAGCGGAGTGCGGAATGGGAGAAGCACATTGCAGCATGGAAAGAGGTGGTCAGCCATTCAAATCCAATCAATTCGCGCCTTACTTCTCAATGGCGGCCTTGAAGTCCTCGACGGAGAGCTGCACGCCGATGGAGAGCATGATGCCGCCCAGTGCGGGCGCGTAGTACTGCTTGCTGAACCACGCGAACGTCGCCGGCCACGTCAGCGCCGACACCGCCGTCGCCACCACCACGTACGGCAGCAGCTGCGACAGAAATTGACCCAGGTTAAAACCCTTGGTACCGCTCTGCACAGGCCGGGATTCCGCCAGCGGAGCTGCTCGGAAGGAGGTTTCTGAGAGGTTTCCTAGCCTCCGCATGGAGCCTACGTTGCTGTGGACGTGGGTGCATCCGGCAATCGTACACGCGAACTCGTCGCTGGGAGAACAGCTTTTCGCCGCGCCTGGCGCCGCATCCGGCGCCGCCATCAGCGGCATTGATCCCTCGGAACCACTCTGCCATCCTGCCTCGAACTCCGCGCGCTTTGACTCCGCATCGCTCTGGTCTCCGCCGGTCCCGCACTGCGACGCGTCTTCCTCCACGAATCCGCGCACCTCCTTCCGCCTATGCGCGGAAGAAACGGATGCTGCGCTCACGGAGGTCACGCCGATTTGGTTGCGCAATCGAGCCCAGTTAACACTTCCCTGGGTTGCACCTGCTACGCGTTTCGCGTCCCCGTATAGTCCCAGCTGCTCTCGTTGTGGGCCCGATGCGGCCGGGGTTGCCGACGTGGAACGGATGAGAGGGATTGCGCGCTCTGCTGGCAGATAATCATTGGCTGCTGAGTTGCAATGCGCATCGCCTTGGCTGCGAATGGTTACGAACGGCTGGCGAGACGAGGAACTACGCGCCGCTGGTTTGAAAGAGCGATTGACTGGAGAACGGGTGGAGAAACGGCACGATTCATGAGCTCCGAAGAGAAAAGGTCGCTGAAGATGGCACGCCATGGTAGAGAGCCTTCAGCGATATCGTATCTGACAAGTTTAATCGTTTATCGGTTTCAAAATTTAAGAACCCAACACGTGGTGGCGAGTACGAGCCGGAGAACCGCAGACAAGATCCTAACGCGAGGAGTCGACGGAGAGCAAAATGGGTCTTTGTGTGAAGGGATGATAGAAGCAAGTATACTCTTGTGCAATTCTTGGCTAACGCAATGGCTTCTATATGGGTGCTTATTTCCAGAGATAACCGAGAAGGAAGGCAGGTGCGGGCGGGCTGGGCAGTGGGCACCCTGGGGGGAGGGTGGGCCTGCCTTCCACTGTGCCTCCACTCGTGCCTTGGCCGCTGATGTGACGCTGCGCTGTCCTTGCCTTGGGCTTGGCTGGTTGGTGGGTGGATACGCGGAGAACGCGTGGTGCGGTGTGGCTCCTCGCATCCACATGCCATGATCCATCCGATGTTGGATGGGCAATGGATGGATGGATGTGGGCCTCCGCCGTGTCCTGCAATGGACGCCATCGATTCCTTCCACGAATCTGAGCCGCGGAAGATGCCGAAATACACTTCATGGAGTCGCAGTTGCCATGTCACCACCGCTGTTCACATCTAAGGTGCGGCTTGGAGAAAATCTCGCAGGCTCGTTGGATTAAATGTCCTGGTAGATCAAGCATTGTGATCCGTGGATAAAAAGCTGAACCAACGGTTTGAGCCAGTTCCGTGAGGCTCGTAGCTGTGAGCCCCACGTTATCTTCCACGTGGCATACACTCAAGGTTCAATAGGCACTTTACCCTCGCCTGAGCACATTGGTTGGTGCGCGAACCTGGATTCCTGGATATTGGTCATAAAGTCTGACTGACGGTTCGACGGCATTTGACGGTGTACCGTAGCAGAACTTGTAATGAGCACGTGGATGCATGTCAGTGGTGATTCATTCCAAGGAGTTTTCGAGATCCTTCTTTCCATCCAATACTGCAGTTGATCAGGATGCTCAAAAGCACCATTGACGTCTAGAACCTGATTGAACAGAACAGCCCTGGCGAATGCAAATTGCCGTCCGTCAAGTTTTTCCCACACAAGAGCGAGGGTATTGTGAGAAGGATTTCTGATAGAAACAGCATTCACAAGTTTCCCCATGTAGTAGTCATTCAATACATATCCACTAGAAGTGGCACACATGGCATTGATTTGCTCAACCACAATACATTCACTGCTGCCAAGTCACATACATGCCATCTGCTCTACTAGCAAACACACAACACTGTCCTGGTGCTTCACAAGTGTAAAAACGCGTTCAGAATGCAGAAGCTTTGGCAGAGTGTCTGCCGTCAGAACAGCTGCAGCACACCAAATAGGAACCAACATGCATTCAGGCCACTTCCCCACAACATCGTGAGCACAGACAGCCTCTATGAACACCTCAGCAGACGGAAGTGTGTGGCTTCACAAGCACACCTGCTCGTGCTGCAACTAGCGTGTTGTTGACCCAAGTCCACACCATGTGCATCTTCCCCAAACGAGTGAGAATGTTAACGATATGACACTCACCATAACACATCAACCAACTCATCCTGCGTGACTGCGTCGACACCAGCACTGCAAACCGCTGTTGCTGCAAGTATTGATGCAGGAGAGAGTGCACATAGTAATGGGGGAAGGAGACTAAGTGGGGAAAAGAGAAGAGCGGCAAAATTCATATGAACAGCGACTGACACTCAACAACCGTGAGACAAAATCTAATAACAGCTGCTTCTTAGAAACGGTTTTCTTGCAATTGCGGCTAGTAACCACGACCCGGTAACCACACCCGGCAGTAAGCAGGGGTCCCTCTGAGTATCTCTTACCTTCCCCCTCTGAACAGTCTTACCTTCTTCTCCCCCATGCCCTGGTCTCCCTTCCCACACCCAATGGAGTCCACAGGTAAATGCCTCCACCATACCCCTCCGTATCTTCTTGACTGCCGCCACCACACCCTACCCCTCCTCACCCCCCCCCTCCTCACCCCCCCCTCTTCACCTGCCCGCCAGAACTTCCGCTACTTGGCCACAAGCGTTTCTCAGCTGCTACACATGATCCTTTACGTCCCATGTAGTTATTGTCCTCGTTACTTTCCACGTCCTGAACGATAATGGAAAGCGTCCTCCCCCCACGTCCTCCCCGCACGTCCTCCCCGCGCGTCCTCCCCCCAGGTCCTCCCCCCGCGTCCTCCCCCCAGGTCCTCCCCCCGCGTCCTCCCCCCGCGTCCTCCCCCCGCGTCCTCCCCCCGCGTCCTCCCCCCGCGTCCTCCCCCCGCGTCCTCCCCCCGCGTCCTCCCCCCGCGTCCTCCCCCCACGTCCTTGCCCCACATCCTTGTCCCGCGTGCATGCCTGCTGTGTCATCGTGTCCCCCTTCGCCGCGCACTCCGTCTCGAACTTAAATTCTCCCCTAAATGCAAGTCTCTGCCGGTCAACCGTCCGCTGCGAACCCCCTCAGTCTGCAATGGCTCGACACTCTGCAAATTTCTCGTGTACGAAGCGAAGATACTCGTACATGGACGCGCGTTTGAGCGCGATACGCGCGCGGGCAGAGGAGACGAGGAGGGAAAGGGAACGCGATGCTGCGCTGCAGTCGAGCATTGGGCGCGGAGCGGACGCTAAGCAGGCTCTACGACGCGACCTTCACACCGTGTCGTGCGCTGCACGCGTGCAAATCGCGGCAACTGCAGGACTACTGAGCACTCGCACTGCTGTACGCGGTGCATCATGAAAGGGAAACGCAACCATGATAAAGCCAGCCATGATGAGCCGACTCGTGGCTGGTGACGACAAACTGGCGGAAATGAGAATATTGTCGCGGGAGTGGATCCTTTAGCAACGCCACAGAAGGAGGACGAAGGTAAAAAACAACTAATACGGCCAAGGAGAAAGGACGACGGCAAAAAAGGACGCACGGAGAGAAAAAGGGTGGTGAAAGGACGACGGCAAAAAAGGACGCACGGAGAGAAAAAGGGTGGTGAATGGTCTCGTGGCCCGAGCCTGCGAGGGAAACTCCGGCCGCGCACTCAGCCTCGCTGTCCCTCCACCGCTGGGAGCGGGGGGTTTTCGCTGCTCGGTCTCCCGCCTTACGCGGTGCCCCCCTCTCTAACCGCCACGTCACCATTCCTTCCGGAAGGGTACCGCTGCAAACTCTCAGCTTGGAGCGGACGAGTCATCGATGTGGCAAGCCGAGGGTCTCGCAGGTGTGCGACAATCCCAAGATTTGGCCCCCGCTCGGGTTACAGTCAGGCGCAACCCTGACCGGCGTGTGATGCAGGAGAAAATTGAAAATATGATGTCTTCGGGAATGCCAAGAAGTTATCAGTGGTCCCATGTTGGCCGACGTATTCCTAATGCCAGCTGTATGCAGCAGACGAGCTGGTTGGAAATCGCACAGCTGGCCAACAAAAGCCCCCCTGATAAAGTTTGAATGCGTGCTGCTGTTTCTACATAGACAAGCTGGATGTACTATGGCGTTTACATAAATATTTCTTCTGAATCCTGAAGGAAGAATGGCAAAGGCGTGCTTGCATCCTACACTACACCAAGTCCATAGAAACATTCTACGTATCTGACCTCGGAGAGGCAGCCCCGGAAGACACAGACGAGCTAGTCCTAGAAGGCACAACCGAGGCAGTTCTGGAAGGAACACTAGAGCTATTCCTGGTCCCTGGATGATACAACCGAGCTTGGCGCCGTTGAACGCATCAACCCCATGCCTGGCAAAAGCCCCGGGTTCAAAACGTCGCGCCTGGGGGACCTAGGGTCAGAGGTGAGCGCGAGGTGGTGGTTACCACTGGTGAGGGTTACCTGCTGGCCTGCCATGTGACCGGCGGCAAGCACCGGGGGAGGGCAGGAGATGCCGTTGCGAGGCGGGGAGAAGACGAGCGGGAGAAACTCCTCCGTGTCGCACGCAAAGCGCGAGTTGCGGAAATGTTCTTCCAGCGCCGCGCAACCCTGCATGTGGAACAAATTGAATGTGAATGCCATGGTCAGCAAGACAAGCAAATACCAAAGTGGCTTGGCACGTGAATCTCAAAGGCAACGCAGCCATGGCTAGACACTGGCAAGAGCAGCCATATACATATTGACCTCACCCCACCATGTGCAGAGCACAACGCACCTGCACGCGCGCGTAGGAGATGCGGCAGACCTTGCGCGAGTTGAAGGCCTCCCACGGCTGCAGGTGGAAGGCACGGAACAGCCGCAGCGCCGCCGTCACCGTTGTCAGATTCACAAACGCGTACCCCAGGTTGCACCGGTTCCTGAAAGCAGTGCAGAGCGGTCATGAGCAGTGAGGGGTGGGAGCGGAGGAATAAATGGGTGGATACACACACATGGAAAGCACGCACACGAGTACAAGCATGAGCATAATCAACGAAATCGATTGGAAGGATCACTCACTTAAAGTCAATGGGAAGGTACACAAAGTCATAAGCAGAGAGCGGCTCCCATTGCTCCTCCTCCTCCCCACTCCCCCCACTGCCACCACTGCTGCCACTGTCACTGCCCGCATCACTGCCATTGCTCCCATCTCCATCGGTACAACCAGCAGCAGCAGCAGCAGATTCACCACCATCACCACCATCATCACCACCTGCACCACAGCCATCAACACGAGCACCACTCCTGCCTCGTGCTCCACCTCCTCCCACCGCGTGCCCTCCACCCCAGGGCCGACAGGCGGGCTGGGAGTTGCAGTGCAGGCAGTGGGCGTCCAGCAGCGCGAGCAGCATGGCCTGGTTGTAGCGGTTGGGAATGTTGCGCACCATCACCGTCGTCCTCGTGCCGTCCCGCCGCCCCCTCGCTGCCCCCTCGCCCACCTGACTTCCCACCTGAACCCCCACCTGAGCACCCTCCTCTCCGGCGTCATTTGCACCTCCTCCCTTCACCTCTTCTTCCTTTTCCGTTGTATCTTCCTCTTCTCCTATTGCCTTCTCCCCTTTCCCCATCGCCACACCACTGCACTCTGCACGCGTGACACTCACATGCGGCACCACCACCCTCCCTGAGCCCCCAACAACACCCCCATAATCCCGTGAGGCAGTCAAACCTGTGGAGTCAGTCAACCCAGTCAACCCAGTCAACCCAGTCTGGACGAGATCTGTCAAGCATGCCAGAGGGCGAGGCGCCTCTGCCCTCCTGCCCACCTTCTCCACGCCTGAGCTATCCCCCTCCTCTGCAGCTGCGGCGGTTAGACGAGTGCCACGTGTCCTTCCATACTGGTGCCACCTGCCTGCTGCTGACGTGGCAGCCAACTGGGCGGCCTCGCTCCTGGCCGCCGCTGCTGCTGCCTCCTCCACAAACGCGAACTGGGCACGAGACGGAGGGGGAAAGAGAAGAGGTGGGAAGAGGAGAGGAGTCAGGAAAGAAGGGCAAGGAAGGAGGGACAGGGGACAGAATGAGCGAAGGAGGTACAAGGAGACCAACAGCAAGGCGAATGGGACGACAACAGCTAGGCTAGTCGTCAACAGCTAGGCTAGTCGTCAACAGCTAGGCTAGTCGTCGTTATGGTCATTCTCACAATCATCATGAGCTACAGCAGTTTCCTACCTCTGCCATGTCATCTTCGTCTCCCCGCATCGCCCGCTGCCCCTCCCCATGACCATGCCCATGCACACGCCCATGGGCATGTGAACGACCGTGGGCATGGGCATGGGCATGGGCATGGGCAGGCGAGTGTGCATGTGAATGGGTATGTCGGTACTGTTGGTGCCCACCCATTCCTGAGGCACCCCAATCCTCCACCCAGCCCTGCCTTGCATTCCCCCCCATCGCTTCTCCCCTCCCTGCTCCTCCCCCCATCCACATTCCGCCCATGCCTCCGTGTTCTCCCCTTCCCCCCCCTCCCCCCGTTCCCCCCCTCCCTTGCGCCATGGGCATGTTCCAATGCATCATCATCTGCCCGGGACGGGCAGATGGAAACATTCCAGCTGCCGCCCCGACGATTCCTATTGGAGGAAAACCCACGCCCATGGGTGTTGGTGTAGCATGGCCGTACATAGCAAACCCAGTAGAGGCAGTGGGGGTAGGCGGGCCAGCAGGGTTGGCAAACGCAGGGGCAGCAGCAGCTGCAGCGGCAGAAGCATGGGAGGCACTTGCAGTGGGGGTGGCAGGGAATCGGGGAGAGGAGGAGAGAGACGTGGGGAATGAAACAGCAGGAGACGCCCCCCCAGCAGATATTGCAGCCAGGGAAAGATGACTGGGAGCAGACGAAGGAGGGGGAGGAGGAGGAGGAGGAGGCGGCAGAAGAGGTACAAGGGGAGAATGCGCGGCATGGTCAGAAGGGAAGGGCAGTGGAAGTGGAGGAGGGTAGGGGAGATAAGCAGAGGATGCAGCCCCAGCAGGTGGGAGATACGGCATGCCTGGGGCAAAGTGGTAGGCATACTGGGGAGGGCCGTGGCTGTGTGTGTGAGGTGCGGAGGGCAGGGCGTGGGGCATGAGGAGCATGAGGTGGGAGTGAGCGTGTGGGTAAGCAGTGTGGGGATGCTGCAGCAGAGGCACCGAGACAGGGGCGTGAGGAGGCTCGTATGGCCCGGCATACTGCTGCTGCTGCTGCTGCTGCTGCTGCTGCTGCTGCTGCTGCTGATTTTGCTGCTGATACTGCTGTTGATACTGCTGTTCATACTGCTGCTGCTGGTGTTGGTACTGTTGCTGCTGCTGCTGCCCCTCATGCATATACCGCCCCTCGTGGGCTCCTTGCACGTGCTGCCACTCGTGCTGACCCCCCCAGGCCTGTGTGGCCTGCGGGCTCAGGTTCTGAAGAGGCGCGGCCACACGTGGTTCAACCAACGGCTGAGCCAAGGGTGGTTGGACGAAGGTAGGGGGGGGTGGGAATGGAGGGCGGAACCAGGTGGCTGCTGGTGTGACTACTGGTGTAGATGCTGAAGCAGGTGCGGGTGTGGCTGTAGGATCAGCAGTGGAGACATGTGCCTGGGGATGGTGAGAATAGTTGTACCCAATGTCGCCAGTGCTGCCACTGCCATGCCCTTGCTGCCTGTATGCATGCGAGAGGGCAGAATCCGGTGTAGTGTGCAGGGGCGCGAGAGGCAGAGGGGTCACAGAGGAGGCTTGCCAGTGCCAGCCGGGAGGGAGGCTGCTGCCACGGCTGCTGGCGCTCCTGCTGGCGCTGCTGCTGCCACCGCCACCGCTGCTACCAGTGCAACTGCCACTCGTATCTGACCTCCACGTGTCTGGCGAGCTCTGGGCGCTCGCTGTGGCGCTGCTCATGGGCGTGCTGGTGTTAAGTGCGGTAGTGATGGGTGCGGTGGTGATGGGTGCACTGGTGATGGGTGCACTGGTGTCGGGTGCGGTAGTGATGGGTGCACTGGCAGTAGCGATGGGTGCACTAGTAGCTGGAGTAGTGTTGTCTGGGTTGCCGTCCCCTGACGTGCATTCTTCGCCAGGAGATGAGAGAGGGGCCAGCTCTTCTTGGGTCAGCGATGCTGACTCATCAGAATGCCCGCCACCTCTTGACCTGGCGCTCTCCCCTCCACTCTCCCCTCCATTCTCTCCCTCTCGCTGTCCTGCTGAACAGCCCTCCTTCACCACTGCATTCTCTGCCGCTTTTCTTTCCTCCTCTACCCCCTTTCCCTCCTCCTCTCCCCCTTCCACATCAGCACCTGCTGCTAACTCGGCTTCAAAACATCCTCCAGAAGCTTCATCAGAAACTTCCACGGCTCTACCCCCTAGCATTTCCTTTAATACCTTCTCTGCTTCCTTTAATACCTTCTCACCTTCCCTCAATACATTCTCTCCTTCCTTTAACACCTTCGCACAGTCGCCTGTAACCTGCTCCTCTACGGGGGCTACTCCATCCGTCTCTCTTGCTGATTCCCCCCTGGTGCCGTCTGGACCAGGCGTGGATCCTGATGGCAGCAACCCATCTGCACCCATCTCCCCCCTGCCACCCCTGCTCTCCACCCCTGGGCTACTCAAGTCAGGGCTGTCACACCGGGGAGCTTCTGGAGAACCACCGCATTCGGAAGCAGCACGAGCAGCAGCAGTGAAACTGGATTCAGTAGCAGGGATGGCCCCTTCCGGAGGCTGTGACTCATGCTGGGGCGCGGCTGAATCATGCCGGTGCGAGCCTGGTATGTCTGTAATACGCGGAGAATCAGGGCTAGGCTGGGTGGGAGTGTGCACGGGGGAGTGCGACGAGCTGCTGCTAGCAGTCGATGTGTGAGACGGCGGGTCCGATCCACATGAGGGAGTGTTCAAAGACGCCTGACTCGATGAGCTGCTGCCGCCTCTGCTGCCGCCTATGCTGCCGCTCATGCTGTCACCCCTACCGCCACCACTCCTGCTGCTGCCCCTGGTGTCACTCCCGCTGTGGGTGAGAGCACCGAATGCGGGGCTCCTTCCTTTCCCACGTGAAGACCATTCCGTGCGCCCACGCCCCTGCCATGCATCCACACCTCTTGATCCCACTGCTCCTACAGCTCTCGATCCTCCTGCCGTTCCAACTGCATCTGTCATGACTCCTTGGCGTGCAAACTCGATCTTTATCCGCCTGCCCGCCAGCTCTGTTCCGGTCAGCTTCTGCACCGCATGAGCTGCTGCCCGGATGTCAAAAAACTCCACAAGGCGATGAAGCTTCTTGGAAAGAACTGCTCTGACCTCCTTAACGTCTCCTGCAACGCAAAGAAAACAAAGAGAGAGTGGGAGGAAGCACGAGGAACAGCGGATGTGATGGTAAGGAACAGAGCGATTCACACATGACTGAGGAGACCCAAAGAACGTGGACGAAGCGGATGCGTGATCCAGATCCTAGAGGAAATCCAATCCAATCACTGCAAAACTCAAGAAACCTTTGTGAACCCCAGCACGTACCGCATGTTGCAAAGAGGGCACGCAGTGAGTCCATAGACACAGAGGGCTCAACGTTCCGCACCACCACGCACCCGTTACCACCGTCCCACGCCCCTCCCTGCTGCTCATTCGCCCCCTGCCATAGTCCTCCTTGCCTGCGCTGAAGCTGCTGCCTTAACTGCTGCTGCTGCTGCTGCTGCTGGTGGTGCTGCTGAGGCCCCTGCGACTTCTGTTGCTGGTGACGCCTCTGCACCGCACCGAACCTCCCTTCACCGCCTCCACCATCCGCCCCACCTCCTCCAAACCCCCTCCCAAGCCCGGCACCCTTCCCCTCTCCCGCCCACGCCCCGCCCTCCCCATCAGGATCCACCGCTTGAGCCCACACCACCCACCCAGCAACCAACCCCAGCCCTTTCAGCGGCACAGGCTCGTTCGGCAGGGGCCGGTAGGGGTCCTGGATGATCTTCTCAGGGGGTTCCCTGGTGTGGATCTGGCGCAGGCGGAGCAGGATGCGGTGGTGTGTGCGCTGCTGCTGCAGCCAGTGCTGCTGCTGCACGTCCCTCAGAGCTGCCTTGGCATGGCGCAGGTCGTAAAAATGTGCCGTAGCCACGCCATCCCAGCGGCGGGACAAGTCGAGGAACCTGGAAACAGGAGAGGAGAGCGGATGGGGCAGGGCAGAGGGTGGTGCAGGGAAACACAGAGGGACGCACGGGGTGAACCGGGTGCCAGACGCTACTGCTGCTGTTGCAGCCAGTGCTGCTGCTGGATGTCCCGCTTCGCAAGCTGAGAAAACAAGAAAACCTCAAACGAGCACCTTCGCAAGGAATGATGAAGTGATGCATGATAACGTGGTGAAGGAGAGAACGGATAGGAGAGTGCACGGCGCTCAAGCTGAGCGCTTATTCTCGAACAACCCAATCCAGCTCACCTCAAAGGACCCCACGTTCTCTCTATCTCTTGCGCCAGAACGGCGTCAGGTAGTTGTTCAGGTGGCGGCAACAGAGAGAGCATGATCGCCCGGGACTCTCTGTCGTCTGCTGTAGCCAAGGGTGTGGGGGGCGTGGGAGGAGGAGGAGGCACCAAACTTTCCCCCATTTCATACCCCATATAAGGAGCCCTGAAACCCACGTGTGCAGGCAATGGTGCCTGTGACTGTACATGTAAGAGAGGGTTAGTATGCACAAACGGTTGTGAGTATAGCGGTGCTTGCTGTGACTGCAATGGCTCCTGTGGATGTATGAAGTATGCAGAAGGAGCCCCTTCCTCCTGCTGCTGCTGCTGCTGCTGCTGCTGCTGCTGCTGCTGAAAAGGAGCGGGATGATACTGTATAGTGTGACTGTAAGGAGCGCTGTACATAGCAGTCACGTTGTATGGTGCAGTAGCAGGAAAGGCGTGCTGCAAGGAAGCCGCGAACGCAGTACCGGCAGCAGCAGCGTCAGAAGAAGCACCATAACCAGAGGGGTCAGTAACAGCAGCACCAGCAGCAGCCGCGGAAGATGAACGAGAAGCATTACCACCCAAAAAATGTGAGTCGGAATAAACGCATGATGCATTTACAGTGAAAAATTTCACGTCCTCCATGCTCCCCTGCTTGCTGCTCCCAGAGCTGCTGCTCCTGCTGCCTCCACCCTGCCTTCCACGGATATTCCTCTCCCCCCTTCCACTCCAACCCCGCTCCCACCAACTGTTGCCACGTGGAGGCACGGGGGAGGACCTCCGAGGGCCTATAGGAACCACCTGGGAAATTGCCGGCAATGGACGGCTAAGATTCAAGCCAGGAATCGAGCTGCCGGTAACGAGGGAACGAATGAGAGGAGGAACCACAAACGAAGCGGATGAAGCGGCGGCACCAGCGGTGACCGCAGAGACATCCGCAGCGGCAGTGGAGCTGAGAGGGGTGTAGTCAGGTAAATAAGGTGTCGCAGCGACTGCTGATGGGGAAGGCGCGAAGGACGGGGTGAATTCAGCGGCGTTGGGATCAAGAGACATCTTCTTAAACGCGAGCTCCGAATCGGAGTGCAAGGACTGAGTTTCTGCTGTTCCGGAAACGTCTCTATCACACTCTGCTCCGACGGTTTCTGATGTCGCTGCTTGCTCTCCGTTCTCTCCGTTTTCTCCGTTAATTGATTTCTCTGCTGCCTCTGACACGGACACAACCTCGGGTGCATCCATCAAGTCCGAGACAACAGACTCCTCTTCTCGCTGCTTCCCGTCCCCTGTAGCCTCGATGATACCTCCGCTCCGTGCCTCTGCTGCTGCTCCTTCTTCCCCAGGAGTCTCCCAACGCGCACTCTCGCTCAGGCGATGAGTCAAAGGCGGACTTCCACTAAGAGCGGCTCCATCGTCGTCCCGAGCCTCAGCCTGCGAACAAGGCTCAGTTGGACGGGACATTTGCGGAGCTATTTCGCCGCTTTCCGCAGTCGATTTGGACGCGCGATCCTGAACTTCCATGTCGCCGTCGCAGCCAGAAGCATCACCCGCGATTAGCTGTTTTCTTGGCAGCAATCCGTTCCGCGGCGCAGCTTCCAACACGGCCTTCCAAGAACGCTCGTTGACCGACGCAGCTAAGCTTTCCGTAGCAACCCTACAACCCGAGGAGGAGAGCCTAGTAGTCCCTCGTATATAATTTTCCCTAGCGGTGCTTAGCGAGAACCCACTTTCGGTACTATCACTTAACGTCGTCACACTATTGGATGCTCTAAGAACGACTCTCGGCGCCGAGCCCTTGGTACCGGGAGGCGCTATAGCCATGTCCAGACATGGATATGAGATTCAGCGATGTTCCTCTAGCTTCTTCCGGGATCATAATACCTCTAGAAGTCTAGAAGCATTCCGCATGAACCATGACGGTTGAAAAATGACCTTCAACAGAGGCGGAAAGCTGCACCGAGGAGGGGAAGCTGGCCTTAGAACCGCTCATGGCGCTGGAACATCATAGCCATAATTCCACGCGTGTGCACAATGAAGTTGCATGATGGATGATGCCTCTGCACTGCTGAGAGGAACCGACGATGTCGGCTGTGGAAAGAAAATTCCTCCAAACATCAGCAGCACGTAGCAGCAGAACAGGGCTGCTTTGGTCTCTGCTACTTAACTCCAACCGTGGATCTTCGTTCCCTTCGCTTCAAGCACATTTGTGAAACGCGATGCCCTGCACAGCCTTATCCCCTCCATTCTCGGGATCGTCTCGTAAAGACCTCGAGATTTTCGAGCTTCAGCCGCCAAACAAAGTCTCCTCCAGGTTGTCGAGACAGCAACGTAACCAACAATCTTGCATCCATCAGGGGCGAAGCCGGGCCAGGTATGAGAGGTGAAAAAGGCGGTGCAGAATGCAGGGCGTACCGAGCCGAAAAGGACGTGCGGACGGCTGGATGGGGTCAATTGCCAAGCTTTCCCGCCACGTGTTATCATCCCGGCGGTCCTTTTCAGCTTTGGCAGGACGCCCTGTGAAAACCTTGGTCCCAGCCAGCCTAACCTTCCAGTCGCATCGCTCTGCGATCCGCTGCCAAATCTCTCTGATCTGATGGCAGCACATCATGAAACCGCACGGTGACCCCAGTCTGCCCATCAAAAGTAACACCGTAATCTGGGCGAAGAATATTTCCGGTCGCCCACCGTCATTTTCTAGTACGGCCATCAGGCGGAGATTGCTTGCGGAAGAGGTGCAGGGTAACATCATCGCAACTTCGAAGCCCGAAGCCCAACGAGAATCCGTGTGACGTGGTTCCGCTTCGCCCATGCGTGGATTGAGACAAAAGTTGACGTGTCGAGGGCGAATCCACGCAGATTGCTTCTGCCCCACGTTCACCACGCCGTCAACACCTGCTTCTGCGTATAAGCAGATCCGAATACACTACAAACAGGCCTATGAAGGTGCGTCCATTTTTTACACATGGATGGACATAATTTGTTCTCCGCATGTTGCAGCCCAAAATTGTTGAGAAAACATAGCTTGTAGACTGTGTCTTCCTTCACCATAAATCGCCAAGCTTTCCTTCCAAATCGTAATCCTCATCCTCTTCATCGACCAACTCATCTCCCAAGTCAACCTCTCCTTCAGCTCTTTCCCCCTTAGACTGAGAGCTACCACTGCGAACCAGGATAATACCATCGTCAGCATCATCAGCCAGTGTAGCATCAGGCGCGTGTCCAACCTTCTCCTCCTCCACAACAGCTGCAGCAGGAGCAGAAACGGGAGCAGTGGCCGCAACGGGGCCAACAGCCTTCTCCACATCCTCATTTTCAGAGCCTGCAGCCTCTGTGCCTGCTGCTGTTGCTTCTCCGCCTGTTGCTTCTGCTCCAGTGCCTGACACTTCTGCTCCAGTGCCTTCCCCCATGCGTGCCGCTTTCGTCCCAACTTCCCCGCCACCACGCCCACTCAGCACCCTCGTCAGCCTCCTGGTCTTACCCACATTCCCTTCACCCTGCCCACCTGTCACATCCACTCGCGCCACTCTCCTCTGCCTCTCACCAGCAGCCCTCTCCTGCTGTGCCCCACTACCAGCTACCCCACCATCATCCCCACCCCCCTCATCGCTCGCTCGCTTGCGCTTGAGAAGCTCTGAGAGCGGCCGAGGGCCCGAGAACAGCCCACCTGCTCCGCCAGCTGTCACAGGAGCTGCCTTGCCAGCTGTTGCAGTAACTGCCTTGCCAGCTGTTGCAGTAACTGCCTTCCCAGCTGTCGCACTTGCCGCCTTGCCAGCTGTCGCACTGGCCGCCTTGCCAGCTGTCGCACTGGCCGCCTTGCCAGCTGTCGCACTAGCTGCTTCACGACTACCATTCGTAGGATTCTGCGGTGCTGTTGTCTGCGCTCTCTCGCCAGCAGCCTTAGCAGCAGATCCAGCTGTAGCAGCCCTAACGAGCTGTGCCTTGGGTCTTGATTGAATCGCACTGGCTGGGTCTGCTCCTGCTGCTCCGGTACCCCTGCTGGCGCCCGGTGCTCCAGGGGATGCTGATGATGCTGATGCTGATGGCACCGCATCTGCCCCCTGGGCTTTCCTCTTCTCTGCCAGTATCTCTGCCAGACTTCTCGGTCGAAACCCGCCTTCTCCCCCTCCTCCTGCTCCTGATGAGTTGCCGACCTTCACAACAGCAGCAGGGGTGGCAGCAGCAGCAGTGGCAGGAGCAGTAGCAGCAGCTGGGGGAGCAGTGGTAGCAGCAACGGCACCAACCCTGGGACCGTCAGAGCCGCCTCCTGCCCTGACTACATTCGCCTTCCCCACAGGTCCTGACAACCTGGCAGCTAGTCGGTTCTTGACACCTGTCACGCCTGCACTGTTCACAGCACCGTTCCCTTCCCTGACGCCAAGCCCGTTGGCTTCTGCCAATGAGCCGGCACGAGTATGCACACCGGCAGCACGGCCAGCAGGAGCAGCAGCAGCAGCAGCCCCACCGCCCATGGCAGCAGGGCGAGCATCAGCACCAACACCAGTAGTAGTCACTGTACTAGCAGCACCACCCAGGCGCCTCTTCACTGACAATCTACCATCCCCTGCCGAGCCTCCGCCACCGATTGCCGAACCTTCCAAACCTCTAACAGGCTCGGCAAGTCTGCCTTGCAACCGGCCTACCCCAGCCTGCCCCTGCCTGGTCGTATCCTGTTCTGACTGAGCCCTTGCACGCCCCGAACCTATAACCTGAACCCCTGGAACGGATTCAGGCTCGGGCCGGACCCGTTTCAGGTCCCTCCTCCCTGGTGGAATTTCAGGGAGGGACGAGGTAGCCTTCACAAGCTGGCGAATATCAGCTGCCCGAGAGACATGAGATTGGGAAGCAGGGAGGGAAGGCGCCTGCACCACACGTTGAGAGGACGCTGAGGCGCCATCCACTCGCGCACGAATCACTAACCCCTGCGCTACAGCCCTTGCTGGAACCTGTCCTTGCTGCTGCTGCGTCTGCTGCTGTGGCTGAAGCTGCTGTTGATGACCTTGTTGCTGTTGGACAGGCAGAGAGCGAGCAGTGGTGGCAACGACTCTCCCAGCAGTACTGTCAGTGCTGCTCCCAACGGCCACCACCAGCCTACGACCCTTCAGAGGAGGGTTTGTTACTGAAGAGGTGATGTTGTCAGGTGCTGCAGCCAGAGAGGGGGCGGCATTGCTGGCTACTCTGCCTGTGCCTGCTCGGGTTCCTCTCCCTGCTCCTGCTGCCGCTACCGCTGGAGTGCCGCCGGGTGCTGCGAACACGCCTGAGACGCAATGGCCAAGCAAACGAGAGGAATGGCAAACATCTGTGAAGGAGGAGCTCAAACCCAAATGCTCTAGGAGATGCACACAAAGAGTTTTGAGAAAATCTAGTGCGGAATTCTTACCTCGCATGGGAGATGGAGGCAAATCAGGCACCTTCGCCCCACCATGTGCCACGTGCTGCTGAGCGGACCTTTCCCCCACAAATCGTCCTCTAAGCCCAACGTTACCCTCCTCCCCTCGCCCTCTACTGCCTCCCTCTCTTCTCCCTGCTTCCGCACCCAAACCCCTTGGCCCAGGGCCTGGCCCTAGTGCTGCTGTGGCGGCAGCAGCGGCTGCTGCAGCTGCTTCCTCCATCACCGCCCGCACCCCCACTGCCCGCCCGCGCCCCTGCACCCTTTGCCCATGCTGAGTCATCAGGTGCCCCTGCTGACCTGGAGCTTGACTAGGGTGACCTGGAGTGTGACCAATGGCACGATCATAACCACGGGGCTGGGCGGCTGGCTGAATCTGCTGCTGTTGATGCTGCCTGTTCTGGTGGTTGAAGTGATGGTGATTCCGCTGCTGCTCCTGCCATTGCTGTTGCTGCTGCTGCTGTTGCTGCCACTCCTGTTGTCCCTGCCCCTGCCACTGCTGCTGCTGCTGCTGCTGCTGCTGTTGATGATGATAATGCTGCTGCTGATGGTCGTGGTGGTGCGGATGTTGTTGCTGCTGCTCCTCATAAGCCACATCTGCAGAACCCCTCGCAAACCCCCTCCCTACTCCAAACGCTGAAGCTGTTGGCAGCATTGGACGACCATCTCTGCCCCCACCTGGAACCCCTCTTTCCCCTGTCTGCCCTGATCCACTCCCAGCACCAAAGACACCCCAACCTGCACCCGGTCCCACCCTCCCCCTCTCCTCAGCCCTCCTTCCGCCTGTCCCTGCATCAAATTGTTCGTCCCACCCCCCAGGTGCTCCTGCCTCCTCCTCTGCCACTCGACCCGTACCTCTACCCATACCTCTAACCGAGCCTCTATCCGAGCCTCTCCCGAGCTCCCTTTCCACTCCAGCAGCAGCGGCCGCGCCAGGAGTCCGGCCAGAGAGAGGGTCAGCAGCAGCAGTGGTAGCTTCAGCAGAAGCAGGACTAGCAGCAGCAGCAACAGTTGTAGCGGCGGCAGGAGCAGGCGCAATGGCGTCAGGGGGGGAGGTCTCGTGGCGGAAGGGGCAGAGTTCCCCCTTGGCGCACGCGCCCCGGGCGAAGAAGAAGCAGGGCGTGCGCGACTTTTCCTCCGCCAGGGGGAACGCGGGCGGGGGGGCTGCGCCAGGCGGCCTGCCTAGAGGCTGCCAGGGATATGCGGGAGAGGGAAGGAGGCGGAAGAGGGAAATACCATGGATTTACTGATACCAAATTGAATGGCTGGGGTTGCTGATACCAATTTGTGCGGAATAGCATGGTTGTACGAAGTCAACAAGATTAGCAGGCCTCGAAGCGAAGCAATAAAGAGAAGCGGGAACCGATCCGTACCGGATGCCTGAAGGCGCAGTCGGCCTTGTTGCACCCCCAACTCATCCAGTAGTAGCAGTCGCGCGGGTTCCGCCTCGCTGCTTCGGAATGGCGAAACTCGCATGTCGCTCCCTGCGCGGATAGTCACAGAGGAACGGAAATTAAGAATTTCCCGCACAATGACAGATAAATTTCAATTGAAACATTAAGATACCTCATGAGCTTGTCTGTCTCTCAAGCTAATCACCTTCTTGCACATTAGCGGCGATGCGAGAAAAAAGATGCAGTCTGTTCGCGCTTTAACCAACAACGCGTCATCTTCCTCCGCTGCCGTAGCATCCCCTTCGAGATTGCCGTTATTTCCGATAATGTCGTCTCCAGCCTGACCCGCGTGCCTCTCCATCCTAGGCTCGCGATTAATCCTTCAGCAGACACGACGATCGCCAGCTCTTCAGTGCAAAAAGACAGAGGGAAAATTCAGTGCGGAAATCTAGGCGCATCCGCTGGAATAAGCATGCGTGTATAATATAGTGCATGTTTGAGGTGTTCAGTTGCCGCCATGTCTGAACTGATCGGCTCAGGAGTGTTGTGGCCGTTGAGTGGTCATTGTGAAGTGTGGAAGATGCGGACTGAAACATAGATACCGATTTATAGCTACTCGTGATCTACTTTATGGATGCTCTCTAAAACAAATAGAAAGGCCTTCAGAACCCAAGTAAACCATCATTCAGCGTGGAAGTGAGGAACGTTATAGCGGAGTTCAATCGGGCCGGGGAGGTCCAAGTCCTGGTCAACCTTCTCGTCGTCTCTGCGCGCACCAGACAAACTCAACCTCTGCGCTGCGCCTAACCCGCGTGGGGTTTGACTCAGCTCCCCCCGAAAAGCCAACCTCCGCACAGACGGTTTCCGCTGGTCCAATCGGGTCAGCTGGGGCGATATCCACTCTCCGCATACGCTAGCAAGGAATCTGCGGAGGGGGGTGAGCAGTGCTGTTTCGGAGCAGAATGCGCTTTGCGCAACGACTTGGTTTTCCGCGCACACTGCACTGCACTGCACTGCACTGCACTGCATGCTCCGTGTGAGGAGGAGTCCGGGGGGAAACTGTGGCTGCGCTACTGCTGGAGTGGAGAGAGACTCCGCTGAGCACGACGAGCAGTGGCGGCAGGCTCTTGGGCTGGGTTGTCTTGGAAAGAGTTTTCCGCTGATTTCACGTTTGTCATTCATTTGACCTAGTAATTTTAGTTAGCCTTCGTCTTTCACTCCTGTTTAGTGGGCTCTCTCTCGTTCATTATTGGCACCGCATGAATGAGTTGGGGCTTGCACTCACTAGCTAACGTTTCAAAACCACTCGGAGCTGGGCTACGATTCGAGCTAACAAGCTTATGTCTTTAAATCGAATAAAGCTTGAATCAACACAGACACTGATTCTGTCCACGTCATTTGTTATCTCCGCGATGCGTTCGCTCGTGCCTGCAAGGAGCGTCTAACCCATCGAGTCCGTCGAACACACCGAACATACCTTTCCAGCCCATCGACCTCTTATCCCAGCGCTCGCCATGGAGCTGTCAGCTTGCGTCGATAGTGCCGCGCCTCCGAGCCTCCTTCAGGGAGTCCCGAGCCTCCATCAGGCTCGGCAAGACCACTACACCCCGTCCGTTCGGTCCGCTGCAGTCGCAATGAGCGGCGACCTACTGCCGCCGTCTGATATAGAGCTGGGCGAACGGCGCGACCCCATATCCCTCGAGCCAATCACCAGCCCGCCTTCCATCCGCCGGACCGCGTCGATAGGCACCAGCAGCGGTAGGGACTTCTGCTTATCGCTGCCGCAGATCCCTCCTCCCGTCACTCCGCGACCCGACTTAATAGCACCTCCAGAGGAAGCCGATTCAGACATGGGAATTACCATAATCTGTCCACCCAGGAACGGGCTTCTATTAAGCCCTACTGACGAAAGCGAAAAATCGGGCGAAACTGGCGAAGCCGGCGCGTCCAGCAGCAGACGTGGCGCATCAGGCCGTTTGGGCACGTCCGGAGCTGGCCCGGCGGTTCGGAAAGGCTCGCCGAGCCTGAGCCGCGCGAGGCTCGGGTTGGGGGAAATCCGGCTGGACCTGGGCGCGTTGCGCGCGCGCACGGAGCGGGATTTCAACGCGGAGGCGATGGAGGTGCGCGCGCGCAAGGAGAAGTTCGCCTTCTTCGAGAAGGACTGCAGCCGCGTGCTGGAGCACGTGTTCGTCGGGAGCGATTACGTGGCAAGAAGCCGCGAGATCCTGCGCGAGGCGGGTGTGACGCACGTGCTCAACTGCGTGGGATTCGTGTGCCCGGAGTACTTCCCCGGGGATATCGTGTACAAGACGCTCTGGCTGCAGGTGAGAGAAAGGGGCGGGGAAGAGGGGAGAGGGAAGGGAGGGAGTGGGGGGAAGGTGAGGGGGAGTGGTACGCAGGTTGGTGGAAGTGAGGTGGAGATGAGGTGGGAGTGAGGGTCAGGTGAGGGAGGTGTGACGGGAATGTTAAGTTGCTGTTTTGAGAGGCAGTGAGGGAGGCGACGCTCTCATCCCGTTGCACTCGTTTCTCCCGTTCCTTTCCCCTTCACCTCAGGACAACACGGCGGTGGACGTAACATGCGTGCTGTGCTGTACGACGTGTTTGACTGCATAGAAGGCGTGAGAGACATCACATGCCTCTCAAAATAAGGCGTGGAAGGCCACGGCTGCTCATCCTTGCACTCTCTCCCCTCCCTTTCTCCCCCACAGGACAACACAGCGGAGGACATCACATGTGTGCTGTACGGCGTGTTTGACTACATGGAGGGCGTGCGGGAGGGCGGTCACGGCTGCTCATCCTTGCACTCGTCTCACTCTCTCCACCTCTCTCTCCCTCCTTCCGCCACCTCCCCTCTTCCTCCCCTGCAGGACAACACGGCGGAGGACATCACATGTTTGCTGTACGACGTGTTGGAGGCAACGTCTCCTCATCCTCGCACCCGTCTCTTTCTCTCGCCATCGGCCTCGGCCCCCCCACTCGCCTCCCCCTCCCTCCCTCCCTCCCTCCACCACCCGTTCTTCCTCCCCCACAGGACAACACAGCAGAGGACATCACGTGTGTGCTGTACGACGTGTTTGACTACATGGAAGGCGTGCGGGAGAGCGGGGAGGTGGGGGCCAAGCCTCTTCATCCTCGCACCTCTCTCACTCGCTCCCCTTCCCTCCCTCCCTTCCTCCCCCACAGGACAACACAGCAGAGGACATCACATGTGTGCTGTATGACGTGTTTGATTACATGGAGGGTGTGAGAGAAGGCGGAGGGCGCGTGTTCGTGCACTGCTGCCAGGGCGTCTCGCGCTCCACGTCGCTTGTTATCGCCTACCTCATGTGGACACAGGTGGGCAGAGCAGTGCAGGAGTCTTGTAACGAGTTGTCTGTTAGCGTGTATGGCGTGATTGTCCACTCCTCCATTAATGGTGATTGTAGTCGTGTTACTCAAGTGATTGTGTGCGCACGCGAGTCGTTCAGCCGGTGTGGTGGGAGGATCACTTGAGTCATTCGCTTGATGCTTGCCCAAGATGCTAGAATAAGCCTGCTGTCGCCTGGTGCTTGCCTGGGATGCCAACAGGATGAAAAAGATCCAACCCTTCACCAGCAGGATGGTAACAGCAAGATGGTTTCGCATGCGGCATGCCAGTGCACTCGCAACCATCCTGCGCCCTTACCATCCTCCCCCCCCCCCCCACCCCTCTTCCCCTTCCCCCTGTCCCTGTGTCCCCGTGTTCCTCGCCCCCTCCCCCTCCCCTGTGCCGCTCGCCCCCTGCGCACACCACAATTCTCCAGCGCCTGGAGTTTGAGGAGGCGTTCAGGCGGGTGAAGGCGGTGAGGGGCGTGGCGAGTCCCAACATGGGCTTCGCATGTCAGCTGCTGCAGTGGCAGAAACGAATTCTGCCACCCAAATCAGCAGCCCCCGCGGCAGCAGCAACAGCAGCAGCAGCAGCAGCAGCAGCCCCCCCAGCACCAGTTGATCCGCCAACAGTATCCGCAGCAGCAGCGCCGGCAGCGTCTGAAGCGGCGGGCGGCGTGGTTCGGCAGCACATGTATCGCATGGCGCCGCACTCCCCCTACGACGCGCTCCATCTGGTCCCAAAAACCGTCCCTTTCTCGCGCAACTCACTGGACCCGCGCGGGTGCTTTCTGGTGCAGGTGGGATCTGCTGTGTTCTGCTGGGAAGGCAAGCAGTGCCACTCCCTCATGGCCCAACAGGGGTTGGCTACCGCCAGGCAGATTATCAAGTATGAGAGTCTGGGCGGGGAGCCGGTTATGGTGACGGACGGGCAGGAGCTGGAAAGTTTTTTGGCTGCCCTTGGGGATGGGGGTGGAGGACGGGAGGGGAGGGTGGGTGGGGGGAGTGGGGCAGGGGCTGATGCTGAGTTGATGAAAGTGGTGGCTCGGCAGGGGTTGACGTACCTCGGGCAGGACGCAAAACTTTTAGATGGTGCCCAGCAGAGTTGTGGATGTGAGGTGTCTGAAGGGGTTGTAGCAGCTGCTGCGCCTGAATCAGCAACGAGTGGCAGTTCATCTAGTGCGCCAGACGCAGCAGTAGCAGCACATGAAATAGCACCGGCAGCAGCAACACCAGCATCAGCAGCAGCAGCACCAGCATCAGCAACACCAGCAGCAGCAGCAGCAGTGCCAACAGCAGCGTCCTCAGCAGCTCAGTCATCTCCATTAGCAACAATTTTATCTGATTCTCCGCTCTCACCCTCCGCACTCTCCTCCACCTCCCAGTCTACAACCCCATCTCAGCCCAAGCCAACAACCCCGTGTAAACCCAAAACGCCAACCCCTTCCCCACCCAAACCAAGCACATCACCCACACCTGCGAGCCCTCTTCTTCCCTCGCTGCCTCACGCTGCCTCTGCCCCAAACGCCCCTCACACCCCCACCTCTCCCGAACCTCCCAACCTCTCTTCTCAGCTCACGCCCCCCAACCAGGCCTCCACATCTGCCGGGCCTAGCCAGAAGTCCACATCTCCGGGATTCTCTGCCTACCGAACCTCGTCCTCGCTCTTGGGCTCGACCTCGCTCTTTGGTGCGGTGGACAGGTTTGCGCAGAAGCTTCGGCGCCGAAGCTGGGACCGCAAGGAGGCAGAGCAGCTTAGGAAGATGGCTGCAGCGGCGGAAAAAGAAGTATCGGGAAAGAAAGAGAAGGGGAAGGAGGGGAAGGGACGCAAGAGTGACAGCCCATCAGAAGGAAAAGAAGCAGCAGCAGGAGAAGCAGAGGGATCAGGAGGAGGAACGGGCACGAGCAGGAACAGTGAGGGGCGGGCGAGGAGGAGCGAGAGCCTCTCAGAGGAGCAGCTAGAGGCGCTAGCAGGGCAGCTGCGGTGCGGGGGTCTGCTAGATCCCTCTGATATCCGCCTGCGCCGCCCCTTCCTGCGCGGGCTGGGGCGCACTGGGGGAGGCGCGGACTGGGGCAGGCGGAAACTGGCTCAGGAAGAGGCGGGGAGGGAGGAGGAGGATGGGTGTGGGGCGGGTGAGGCGGTGGAGGAGGGAGAAGGGAGGGTGGGAGGGGAGGGGGAGGAAGGAAGTGTGGAGGAGGAGAGGGAGAGAGAGGAGGGGAGGGTGGTAGGGGAGGAGGCTGGTGGGGGAGAGGAGGGGCGGGCGGAGAGGGGGAGGGGGCGGGAGCGGAGGAAGAGGGGCGAGGGGAGGGGCATGCGTGGGCTGTCTCCCATGCGCCTGCTGGCGAAGCTGTCAGGTGCTGCAGGGGGGGAGAAGGAGCAGAAGGGGGCGGGAGAGGGCGGAGGGAACGCGAATTCCAGTGGCAATGCAAGCAGCAGTGCAAGCAGCGCGGCAGTGACGTGTCTACGCCTGACTGCTGTGTCGTCGCCAGTAGTGCCTGGCAGGGCGGGTGGAGCCACTGTGCCTCCAATTGATGCTCTGGAAGGTTCCAGTGGTGATGCTGCTGCGGTCATCGATGCTGCTGCTGCCGCTGCAACAGATGCAACAGCTGAGCCACCTGCCGCAGCACCCACATCACCTGATAAAGCACCTGAAGCTGTATCTGGGCCAGCACCCAGTGCACCTGCAGCCGCACCTGTTCCAATCCAAATTCCAAACCGAAACCTTGTGCTTAACTCACCCGCCCCTGCCCCCACTGCATCCTCCTCCTCCTGCTTTACTGCTCTCCCCTGCTCTCAATACGACACTGATTTTGATTACTTTGAAAAGGCTCTCACGGGCGGCACGCCCCGTCCTGTAGCGGGCTTCGTGTCCCCCTCGGCCAGGCCGAACGTGCTGCCTCACAAGGGCCGCGGGTGGCTCTCTAACGAACCTGCCTGGAATGACAACCCACCAGGTTCAGCAGCTGGTTCGGGCATAGGCTCGGTAGGGGGGAACGCGTTTGGTTCCAAGGAATGGCCAAGCTGGATTCCGAAGAACAGGTTCGGTGCGCTAGGCTTGGCAGGAGGTCCGGGGCTGCCGTCTCCGTCGTCATTCTCCCCTCGTTCGCTCGCATTCTTCCCTCCTGGCGGCATGGGCATATATGGGCAGGAGCTGATGCGGTCTGTGCCCAAAGCACAGCAGGAGGGAGGAGGGCAGGGAGGGGGGCAGGGAGTGGGACAGAATCAAGAACAGGGGAAGGAGAACGGCGGGACAGGGTCAGGTGCAGGTGCAAGTGCAGCGGCCGCTCTTCCCTCAGCAGCACAGGGGGTGGGGTCAGGAGGGCGTGGGAGCGTGGAGAGTGGGGGAGTGGGGTTCACCCCCAGGGGGGCGGGTCGCTATGGAGGGTTCTCCTCTCAGGGAGAGCTGCTTACTACCCCTCGTGGCGCCAGGTCTTCCGTCAAACCGCCCTGGGAGGTAGGCGCGGATAGATTTGCCGGTGCAGGCTCGGGTGGAGGTCCGGGAGCTAGCTCCGGCAGCAGCAGCAGCAGTGCAAGGTTGCCTAAAGTGCCGGTTAAAGCCGCAAGTACAGCAGCTGTTCCTAACAACAGGAGTACACTTTCTTCGGTACAAGAATCCAGCGCTAGAGAGGACTGCTCGACAACCACCCCTGACATCTCGTTATTGAATGGTTCACAACACGCGGTTACAGCGAATGGCTCGGAAAACCGCTCTAACAATGACAATGGGATTTTCAATGGAGCTGATGACTTCAGTGCTGCTGGCCTTCCGTTTGGGATGACTCCTAGAGGACGTCCCCCACCGACGTCCTTTGCTGACCTGGACAAACGGGGCTTGGGTGGTTGGGGTAATGATGGTGCCAGCAAGGCTCCCCCGCTGCCGATGTCGAATAGAAGGTGATTTTGTAACCTGGTTTGCTCTGACCTGACAAATATTGCTGTGTAAAGCTCAGCTGGGCGTTTGTGTCTTCAGGCATGGGCCATTCTTAAAGCAATTTTTTTTTCATCTATAGTGTAAGCCTGAGCTTATGTCATGTTTCTGGTGCTTCAGATACACCTGCAAATCCTTGAAAACACCCACGGATTTGGGGGCTTCGGATTGCTTGGATTCGCTATCCATCTGGCTGACACGTCAGAAACTGACGGAGCTGTGTGATTGGCTTGCGCGGTGCTGTAACCTTTCAGACCCATCCTGCACGGTTCGTCTGCTATCCTTTTCGCCGCTTCTCTCGGACATTTTCAAGGCTTGCTGTTCCACTTGTGCGGGCGAAACATTTTGGGAACCACGATGTGGTCGCCGCACGAATTACCACATGCGATCTCTAACGAACCTTGATTACCAGTCTTTTCGTGAAGTTACTGTTCTGGCAATTACGAGGTTATGAAAACACAGGCTTCCATGGCTCGTCCTTTTCCCCTCTCGGCCCTCCTAGATTCGTCCTAAGTCAATTTTTAGTCCAAGCTAGGTTATCGCAACAAGGTCTTATTACATCTCTCTTTAGGTCTGTTTGAATCAGTTGTTTTTCCGAATCGCTAGATCGTGTAGCTGTACCTGGTGCGGATTTGTAGACAATTTAACGGTGTCGAATCAGTCGTTTCATCGCATCGAGATTCAGGTTTCATTCACAATCTGGTATAGAACTTCAATTCGGTAAGGTCGACAACCCACTATAATCAGGCCTCCTTCAGCGGATCCGAGCATAAATTCTCTTACTGTAGCCAGTATGGCTGGTCAAGGTTGGGGCGATGTGGTGGAAGAAGCCCATCAAGCCCATCCGCCCGCGCCAGGCCCCCCCGCGCCATACATGCACCCCGCTGGCGGGCCTTCCGCTCCGGGGGGACCCCGCGGACAGGGACCAATTCTACGGCAGCCGATCACGTCGTACGTCCCCCCCCACTTGCGCGGCCGCGGGCCAGTCGGCGGGGGAGATTTTGCGCAGCCTCCGGGTATGCCGGGGATGGGCCCACCGGGAGCTCCCGGCCCTGCGCCGGTAGTTTCCTGGAATGCGCCGGCGGGGGGAGCTGGCGGATCGTGGGCGGATCAGGCAGGCGCGACGGGTCCAGCATACGGGGGACCTCCGCCAGGCGGCGCATGGAACGGCGGAGCTTCAGGCGGAGGCGGCTGGGGTGGCGGAGGATACGGCGGAGGGGGCGGAGGCGCCTGGCAAGGGGGGGGTGCCGGAGGCGGGTACGGCGGCGGCCGAGGGGGATACGGCGGCGGGAGACGGGGCGGCGGCGGTGGCGGCGGCGGAGGGCCGCTGGGAGGGTTTAGCGGGTCAGGCGGCGGGCGGGAGGAGGATCCGTTTTCGACGCAGACGAAGAAGGACTCAGAGGCGGTGTTTGAGAACCACCAGAACACGGGCATTAACTTCGACGCGTACGAGGATATCCCCGTCGAAACCAGCGGCGACAATGTCCCCCCCGCCATCACTGCTTTCGACGGATCGGGGCTCCAGGTGCGTGGCGGACACGTGCTTGACGCGTGTGCTCGTCTTGGATGTTGAAGCGTCGTGTAAACACGCGGTTATGTATGGCTATTGAATTGATCCTTTTCTCACCTTGTTTCTGTCGACTCGGCGCTGAAACAACTTAATTGCCGCAGCCGTGACTGAAGCTCGTCAGTTCGTCGAATCTCTCGCCATCCATTTTCCGCTCCCCAGTCATTCTCCACCTCGGGCCCGGCCCGCATGCAGCGGTTTGGAAGAACCAGCGGCGTTGAATCGCCTATGCAGACCCTTTCCTTCGCTTCTGGGTGCAAACTCCTCATCTCATTTCCTCTTTCCCTCTTCTCTGTTTTACCTTTCGTCCTAATCCCCCCTCCCCCCCCGGCTGCGCAACTGGCGGTGATGGAGAACGTGGGCGGCGAATTCAACTTTTCTGTTTTGCTCGCCTCTTCTCTCCGTCTCTTCCTGACCGCCCTAAACCCCCCGCACGCAGCCCGCGGTGATGGAGAATGTGAAGCGCTGCAACTACTCCAACCCCACGCCAGTGCAGCGGCACGCCATCCCCATCTCGCTCGCGGGGCGCGACCTGATGGCGTGCGCGCAGACGGGGTCCGGCAAGACGGCCGCGTTCTGCCTGCCCATCATCTCCGGCATCCTCGCCGCCGGGCCGCCGCCCGACCGCCCCCGCTTCGGCCGCAAAGCGTTCCCGCTCGCGCTGATTCTGTCGCCCACGCGCGAGCTCACGAGCCAGGTGAGGGATCGAGGGATTCGACGAAATGACGAGCTGCCGTCACGGCTGCGGCCATTGCGCCAGTTGCGTCAGTTTCACAGTTTCTGCTCTGAGATGCAACCCCACGAGCCCCACGCTCTGATATACGTTCTGTTTACATGTTCTACTGGACTGGAAGCAACTGCCAACCTGTTTTGCGGAGCGGCTGGGATTTAGTGGACTGGGAGCCTGGTTTCATAGGTGACTTTTGAGTCGACTCAAATGCCACCTCAGTGGTGGAGGAGCTTGGTTGCAGCTGTCGTGCTGGTAGAAACAGTCTTAATAGGTTGCACTTGGGAGAGCCCACACGGGCCGGGTGCGAGCCTTGGCTGAATCACCTGCACTCCTCGCCTCCTCCTGTTCTTGGTGCCCTTCCCTTCCGCTATCCACGCTACGATTCCCGCCTCTCCCTCCGCGAATCCGCCATCCGCCATGCTTTGTTCCGTTTCCCTGTCTTATCGCCTCCCCGACTCCTCTGCGCTCTAGGCTCGTTCCCTCCTTCGTGCTTTCTCTCCCTCCCCCCCTCCCCTCCTCGCCCCTCGCCCCTCGCCCCTCGCTCCCGCTCCCCTCGCCCCTCCCCGCTCGCCCCACCCCCCTCGCCCCTCAACCCTCTCCCCTCCCCCCCTCGTTTCCCGTTCCTCATCCGCTCGTCCGCTTCCTCCCCCCCTCCACCTGCGCCCCCTGCGCCCCTCCGCGCAGATCCACGCGGAGGCCTGCAAGTTCGCCTACAAGACCGGCCTGCGAGCCGTCGTCGTGTGTTGAGTCGACTTAAAACACTTCTCCCCCTCGTCCCTCGCGCCCCTCGCCCCCTCGCCCCCTCGCCCCTTCTTCCTCCGCGCAGATCCACGCGGAGGCCTGCAAGTTTGCTTACAAGACTGGCCTGCGCGCAGTCGTTGTTTATGGCGGTGCCCCTGCCGGCCAGCAGGTAATTATACGCTGCCTGACGGCTAGCAGGTAACGCTTTGCCTAGGCGTTTGTGTCGGCAGCAGGCGTTGTGATATTCAATCGGTCCCAATGTACACTTAATGATTGTACGTTGATGCGTAGCAAGGATTAATTTAGAGTTCAAGCCAATAGAAGGAGAAGAGTGGTACTTGCTGCTTGGGCTTGCTTTTCCCACGTGCAGACTGTCTCTGCGGGCTATATTCGCCTCTTTCTCATCACACACGTGTGTTTCCCTTTGTGTGCGTTCCCCATGCATCTGCTTTGGGCATGGCATGTCTGCTGGTATGCCTGCTGTTTCTGTGGCTATCCCGCCGTGTTGCTACGTGTGTGTGTGGGGGGGGGGGAGGAGGGGGGGGGGTCATTCATTCATGAATCCATGCACGTGTGTGCATGCACGTGTGTGCATGCACGTGTGTGCTTGCACGTGTGTGCATGCACGTGTGTGCATGCATGCAGATGCGGGAGCTGGAGAGGGGAGTTGAGATCCTTGTCGCCACGCCTGGAAGGTACTAGCCTCCTCCTCCTTCTCCTCCTCCTTCTCCTCCTCATCCCCACTGGCCTCTAGCCGTTTCTCTCACTCGCATCAACATGCACAAGTTCAAAATTCTCGCTTTCCATAAGCTCTCATGCTCCGATGCGTCTTGTAGAACACAAGCGTGAGGCACTAGTGCTAGTGCATGCGTCCACGCACCAGTTATCCGCCTCCTGCCCAACACCCACTACTCTTTCGTCACGTGATGTGCGACAAGCTGGGACATGTGAAGTGAAAACGGTTAGCAGGGCCACTGTCCAGTACCCAGGCATGTGCAAGCTCATGGGGCTCAAACCTCATGGGGCTCAAACCTCATGGGGCTCAAACCTCATGGGGCTCAAACCTCATGGGGCTCAAACCTCATGGGGCTCAAACCTCATGGGGCTCAAACCTCATGGGGCTCAAACCTCATGGGGCTCAAACCTCATGGGGCTCAAACCTCATGGGGCTCAAACCTCATGGGGCTCAAACCTCATGGGGCTCAAACCTCATGGGGCTCAAACCTCATGGGGCTCAAACCTCACCTCTTCTTCCTGCCGTCACTCCCCTGCTCCGTTGCGCCCTGACCTGACCCCTGGATCCTGCAAGCTGTGAAAACCGAGGACAAAGAATGCCGAGTTTGTGTAAGACCCCTGGGACCAGCTGGTTCTTGTGAATCTCCAAACACCTGCTTGCACTCTGAACCTTGGCCCCCCAACCCCCAGGCTGTGCGACACACTAGAGCGTGGAAAGGTGTCCATCACATTGGTGCGCTGTCTCGCCCTCGATGAAGCCGAGCCGCAGATCCGACTGATAGCACGCACCCTCCACTTCCCTTGCCCCCTCACCCTGTCACCCCTGTCACAGGCTGTGCGACATGCTGGAGCGGGGCAAGGTGTCCATCACAATGGTGCGCTACGTGGCTTAGATGAGGCCGATCGCATGCTCGACATGGTCTTTTAGTCGCAGATCCGTTTGACCACACGCACCCTGCTCTACTCCCCATCATCCATGTGTCTACAGGCTGTGCGACATGCTGGAGCGAGGAAAGGTATCCCTCACCATGGTGCGCTACCTTGCTCTCGACGAGGCCGATCGCATGTTGGACATGGGCTTCGAGCCGCAGATCCGGCGCATCGTGGAGCAGGAAGGCATGCCGCGCGCGGGCGAGCGCCAGACGCTCATGTTCTCGGCCACGTTCCCCAAGGAGATCCAGCGCCTGGCCGCCGACTTCCTGGCCAACTACGTGTTCCTCACGGTGGGGCGCGTGGGGTCGTCCACGGATCTCATTCAGCAGCGCGTGGAGTATGTGCCCGAGCATGACAAGCGGTCGGTGCTCATGGATCTAATCCACGCGCACCACACCTCCAACGGCGCTACTGGCAACGCGGTGAGTGCTCTGAGAATGTGCTTCAGTTGCCTCGAACTCTCGATCCTTCTATGAGTATGTGCCCGAGCATGACAAGCGATCGGTGTTGATGGACCTCATTCACGCGCATCACACCTCGAATGGCGCTACTGGCAACGCGGTGAGTACACAGTCAGGGGTTGCGTGGAGTCGTCCGCTGATCTGATTCAGCAGCGCGTGGAGTATGTACCCGAGCATGACAAACGGTCCGTGCTCATGGATTTGATCCACGCGCACCACACCTCAAATTTTGCTACTGGCAACGCGGTGAGTACACAGTTAGGGGGCGAGTGGGTTCGTCAACTGGTGTGGAGCATGACAAGCGATCGGTGCTCATGGATTTTACATGTGTGGCTCTGCTGTTTCACTTGCTGCATACCTCCTATCGCATGAGTATGTGCTCATGGACTTGATTCACGCGCACCACATTTCCAATGGCACAGCTGCTGCCCACGTGGCGAGTGCTGTGAGGCGTTGTTTCACATGCTGCATTACCCTCTATGCGTATGTGTCACATGCTGCATTACCCTCTATGCGTATATGCCCACCTAGTCCCCACTCGTCTCACCATCCCCCTCCTCCCCACCACCTTTTCTCCTTCTCCCCCCACCCCAACCACCTGCACCACAAGGCAGGCTCAAACTGGTGTTGGTGGAGACCAAGAAGGGGGCCGACTGTCTCAAGGACTGGCTGTGCTGTGCCGTGCTGCAACGGCTTCCCCGCCACCTCCATCCACGGCGACCAACCACCACCTTTCCCCCCCTTCCCCCCCCCCCCACACACTCCCCTCCCACCACAGGGCGGGCTCACACTGGTGTTTGTGGAGACCAAGAAGGGAGCGGACTCGCTGGAGGACTGGCTGTGCCGCAACGGCTTCCCCGCCACGTCCATCCACGGCGACCGCTCGCAGCAGGAGCGCGAGTCGGCTCTGCGCTCCTTCCGCTCCGGCCGCACGCCCATCCTCGTCGCCACCGACGTGGCGGCGCGCGGCCTCGACATCCCGCACGTGAGCCACGTCATCAACTACGACCTGCCCTCCGACATCGATGACTACGTGCATCGCATCGGGCGTACCGGGCGCGCGGGGAAGACTGGTTTAGCCACGGCGTTTTTCTGTGACAAGGATACGAACCTGGCGCGGTCGCTGATAGAGTTGATGAGTGAGGCAAATCAGGAGGTGCCCGGGTGGTTGCAGAACTTCGCGTCGCGGTCGGGGTATGGTGGTGGTGGGAAGGGCAGACGAGGCGGCGGTGGAAACCGGTTCGGAGGGAGGGATTTCAGGAAGGAGCGCGGGGGAGGGGGAGGGGGGTATGGCGGGGGTGGGTATGGCGGTGGGGGGTATGGCGGCGGGGGAGGGTATGGGGGCGGGTATGGGGGAGGAGGGGGGTACGGTGGTGGTGGTTATGGCGGCGGTGGTGGCGGGTACAGCAACGCTCCTCCAAGCGCCTGGGATTAGGCCTGCCTGCCGTCTGGCTTCTGCCTTCTACCCTTTCGACCGAATGAGGGGGTTTGGGGGGGGAGGAGGGAGGGTGGGGTGAAGTTTGGAGCTGTTCAACTGTGGTGAGCTGACAGAGGAGTTGAGTTGTTGCTACACTTGGCGAGGTCTTTTGATAGTGAACATTTTAGGTACTGGAGTCTGTGCTTTGGCCTGCTACTGCTGCCGCTGCTGCTGCTGAGGCTTCTGCTGCTGCCGCTGCTGCGGAGCCTGCTGCTGGCACTGCTGCGGCTAAGGCCGACCCTGCTGCTGCCGCTGCTGCTGCTGCTGCTGAGGCTGCCGCTCCCACAGCCTTTGTGAGTTGACTTTGTGTGGCAGCAATGGGAACCATGGGAAGGTGCTTTCACCAGCCGGTGTGGGAGCTTCAACAGGGGAGAGTCCCCTATCTTGACTGCACGTCTTCTCCCATTTGCCGACGTTTCTGCAGTTGAAGTGAATGTACCGCTGTGGCGGCCTTGGAACCAACAGGTTCTGGGGCGTCCCAGTTCTGCTCTGGGCTCTTTGCAGCTGCAGCTGGCACTGCCGCAGCCACTCAAGGTGCCTTGTGCTCTGCGTTTGTGCATGAGTCGCCAGCAGCCTTTGGCAGCAGCCAGGGGCTTAAGCTGCGAGGCTTGAGGTCTTTTTGAAACTTTTTTGTTGTCTACCTACCTCTTCCCACCCCCTTCTTATGCTTCTCTCATCTTCCCTTGATCCCTTCCTCTTACTCTTTCCCTTCCCTAGACCTTTTAGCCATGTCTTTTCAGACCAAAAACCAAGGGCAGCATGAATTGGGGTAGGCAGGTCTGTCAGGCCCTTATCCCTGTCAAGGGGACGCTTGGGCTGAGGGATACTAGGGCACAGGCAATGCCGTTTCTTTCTAGACGTAGGCTTAGGGATGAGCCTTGAAAAGCCACTTTGGCTTTCACAAGGCCTTGTCTCTGGGCTTTCTCGAGGGCCAATCGCGCTTTCCTTCTGTGCCTGCTTTTGGGCCGATATGGTTTGCTACTTGCCTCTATGCTTGTGCCTCTGGTACCCATGCCTTGTCCTGCAGAGTGTCTCTGCCTGAATTTTGATGAAGCTGGGCCTAGACCATTAGTAATGAAACTCTTAACCATTTCCCTTAGATGATTCATCTCATTCTCACTTCTATTCACAAATGCCAATTTTATCGGTTCGTTTGTTATGTTGACATCTGTGTCGCTGTGTTGGCGTCACTGGCAATAATTGGCGTCGCTGCCATCAGCACCAATCTACACAGCACCCCGTTCACGGGTCAGCTCAGCATCTTTTTGAGACCATCATTTACCGTCGGATTCTTCTCACTTCAACATCGGACGTTTATAACCAGAAATACCGGAGAGCCTGCCCGAAAGCCACCGCGTTCCATTTGGGGTGACCCTGCCGCAAAGTACGCTGCATAGAAATCTCCCTGCCCCTGACACATAAATATATCGACGGCCACGATTGAACGCCAGCATTCCCTTCCTCTCTCCTTTCTCCTCGTTTCAGGTCGTCCATCCCTGTTAGCCGCGCATTCTCTTGTGTTGTGAGTCGTGACGCGTCACACGTCCCCTGCTAGCAAAAGCCGCTAGATTATCCTCATTCCGCATTATAGTAGTCCAGCGATTTTTGAATCCCCTCGCTGAGGTAGCGCCTTTTGCCCGCATGCCAGCTTCATGGATCGCGTCCGGCGCAAGCTGGGCGGGTTGGCGCACACCAACAGTGCGCGTTCGCGCACCATCAGTGCGCATGCGCGCGCCATCAGTGCGCATGCGCGCGCCATCAGTGCGCATTCGCACAAGGAATCGTAGCGATGAGTGGCAAACACTTACAAACCGCAGAAGTGAAGGTAGCAAGCGCGGAAGAGCGAATAGCTTCAAACGAACTCGAGGCATCTCTTCTGCTTGACTCCTGAGCCATCTCCGCGCAGTTTCATCTTCTGCTTGACTCTCGTGAGTCGACTCACCAAAATTCCTTTCCCAGGAACGTGTTTCTCGAGCAGCCAGTGACGACTGAAATCGCCCGTAAGCGATCCTTCGCACTGCCATAGCAGCTCTCAGTAGCCGTCAGTATTCGGAATACTTTCACTCAACCATTGTACCAGACACGCAGGTCACAAGGCTACTAGGAAATGCCAGTTTTTCCGTTTTGCATCATGGATTCGGAAGAGCCTGAACGAGACGCGTGAAGGGCTTTTAGGCTCCGTCGACGTTCTTCTTTCCGTAGAACCTCTCAGCACCGCAATCAGCTCCGCCGTTCTTCATCTACCGCGGGCGATTCACCGCGATATCTAGGGAATCGATTGTAGCGCGGCAGCTGGCGTAGCACCGCGTGTTTCGGACATCAAATAGGCGAAGGGCCGAAGCGGCGAAAGCCGAAGAGTAAACATCTAGCAGTGAAGGTAGAGGACGTGAGGTCGAGGGAGGAGAACGAGAGGTATCCGAAGCGGTGAAGCAATTCAGTTTCAGGGACACCCGACTGATTCAGGTGTAGACTGTGCTGGCGTTAGGGTCGGCAGAGAGCTGCTTCGACTCAGAGAAATTCCGGTCGGAGAAGGTGCGGAGTATCGCCGTTGAATCGATCGCACCGCCGAAAGAGGCCCTAGTAATCCGCCAACTTGAAATAACTGGCGGCGCCGCATTCGCAGACACTTGGTTAAATTGAAGCCCAGGGTGGTCGGAAACCAGGTTGGCGGCGTGTGTCCGCTTGCAATAGGCGCGAGCAGGCGCGCGGAAAAGGCGCAACCAAGCGCACGCAAAAGGCTCAAGCAGGCGCGCGGGCGCGGGAACAGAGGCGCGGTCGCGGAAGCAAGCGTGTGCGCGGAGGGCGAATGGCGGCGATGTGGAGCTGGCAGGGGCAGCAGCAGCGCGGGCGGCAGCAGCCCCCAGGCGTGGTGCCGCTGAGCGTGTGGCTCGTCCTGTTGCTGCCCGCCTGCCCCCACGCCCTCGCCTCTCACGCCGGTAAGCCATGGCGCATGGCGCATGGGGCACGGCGCATGGGGCACGGCGCATGGGGCACGGCGCATGGCATGGTGCATGGGGCACGGCGCATGGGGCACGGCGCATGGGGCACGGCGCATGGGGCACGGTGCATGGGGCATGGTGCATGGGGCATGGTGCATGGCGCATGGTGCATGGCGCATGGTGTTGGAGGGACGGAGAGGGTGGATGGCTGCTTGCGTCTTGCAAGCTCGTGCGTCTTGCCAGCTCGTGCGTCTTGCCAGCTCGTGCGTCTTGCGAGCTCGTGTGTCCGTGTTAGCTTCTCATGCCATGGCGCGTCACATGCCTCATCCCATGCCTCATCCCATGCCTCTTGTACCGGCCCCCTGCAGGTCGGTTGCTGCTGGGCGTGGGCACACCGCCGCGGCGACTACTGGCGGACATGCCCCTTAGTGAGCACCCATCTCCCCCTCTCCTCCTCCTCTCCGTCTCCCCTCCTCGTGTCTCCTTTCCCACTCGCTTTCCTGTCTCGCTTGCCTGTCTCACTCGACTGCTTCACTCCCTCCTCTTCTCTCACCTCACCTTTTGCACCGTGCCCGCTCCACCCCACCCGACCCTTACCTGTTACTCCCACCTTTTACCCCTCTCCTCTTACCCCTCTCCTCTTACCCCTCTCCTCTTGCTCCTCTCCTCTTGCTCCTCTCCTCTTACCTCTGACCTCCTCCCCTTACCTCTCGCCAGCAATTGATGCACGTTTGTGAGTTTGCCATATTTCGCATCTCTGCTCTGCCTCTATCTTCTGTTCGTACTATCGAATTCTTCCCGTCTTTTCCTTTTCCTTCTCCCTGCACTTTCCCCTTCCTTTTCCCCCTTCCTCCTCGCTCATTCTTCCCCACGCCTCCTCACACCGCCAGCCTCTGTCGCCCCCATCTCCCCCGCTCCTGCATCCCCTGCGGCATCCCCACCAGCGAGCACTCTCCTCGCGCTCATCGTCACAGCATCTGTGCTCCTTGTGGGGGTAGTCATCCTCGTTATAGTCTTCTGCAGGACAAGGAGACGTTGTGAGTTTCCTAGTCACACCTTCCCTCCTTTCCATTGCTGCCATTGTCAAGCGTTCCTGCTTTTTCATGTACCAGCATCCCCTGTATTATCTGTCTCGATAGAGCATAACCACATCTTGTGGTTCTGGGAAGTGGTCGCAACATCAGGATTCTTATTCTTTCTATAATTTTCACGAGTCCTCCAAAGCAGCCTGCATGAGCCATCACAACCACCCCACTCACATCCCCCTCCTCTTTCTTTCACTTCCTCCCCGCCCCTCCCACCTCTCCCTTCCCCTCTCCCCCGCCCCTCCCCTCCACCCCACATCCCTGCCAGTCCCCCAAGTGGCCCCTCTCGATGGCAAAGCATCCGGCATAGTTGACAGTGACAGCGAGAAGGGAAACGGGGAGGAAGGGGAGAGCGAGGAGGGCGAGGACGGGGAGGGGAGGTGCGCGCCAGTGGAGCAGTGGAGCTGGGAGGAGGTGGAGGCGGCAACTGATGGTTTTAGCGAGGAGCGCACTATCGAGGACGCGGGGCACTCGGCGGTGTTCAGAGCAGTGGGACGCGGTGGGGAGGAGCTGGCGGTGAAGCGCGCCAAGCGGGTGTCAGTGGAGGGGCAGCACCTCTTCCGCAACCAGGTGGGCTCAATTCGCCTCTCTTCACTCCTTGGCACCGCTCTTCACTCCTTCACACCGCTCTTCACTCCTTGGCACCGCTCTTCACTCCTTCGCACCGCTCTTCACTCCTTCGCACCGCTCTTCGCTTTCTTTGCTCATTTGCTCCTCTCGCCTGTCAAATGCGGTTGTCATGGCCGGCCCGCTTTCCCTCCCCATGGCAGGTGGAGTTCCTAGAGGCCCAGGTCATCCCAGCATCGTGACTCTGCCTCTCAGTGCGTGCATCAGTCTCGCATTCACATTCACATTCACATTGCTCGCTGCTCTCCCCCTCACCGCAGGTGGAGTTCCTGGAGGGAGTGCGGCATCCCAACATAGTGGCGCTTCTCGCCTTCAGCAGCCTGACATTTCCATTAACGTCATGACCGCTCTGCACCCCTTTCCATTCCCTGGGTCGCAGGTGGAGTTCCTGGAGGGAGTGCGGCATCCCAACATAGTGGCGCTTCTCGCCTTCAGCAGCCTGACATTTCCATTAACGTTGCCATAACGCCGTCATGACCGCTCTGCACCCCTTTCCATTCCCTGGGTCGCAGGTGGAGTTCCTGGAGGGAGTGCGGCATCCCAACATAGTGGCGCTTCTCGCCTTCAGCAGCCTGACATTTCCATTAACGTTGCCATAACGCCGTCATGACCGCTCTGCACCCCTTTCCATTCCCTGGGTCGCAGGTCGAGTTCCTGGAGGGAGTGCGACATCCCAACATAGTGGCGCTGCTGGCATTCAGTGAGGATCGCAACGAGCAGATCCTCGTGTTTGAGTTCGTGCCCAATGGCTCCCTCACTGACTGGCTCAGGCCGCTGGATGGTGAGTGCTGCCACGTCACCGCATGCATGTGCACAATGTGACAATGTGCGTCGCAACAGCTAGCTCCCTTGCTGACTGGCCGCGACCAGTGGACGGTGAACGACCTGCTCTTGCTGAGCTTCCTAGGCAGCATGTTGCGTCCCCCACCCACAGCCGTAGTGCACCTGTGCAGAGCTCGTTCACTTTCCAGCATGTTGCACATCTATCCATGCAACCAGCATGTTGCACATCTATCCATGCAACCAGCATGTTGCACATCTATCCATGCAACCAGCATGTTGCATATCTATCCATGCAACCAGCATGTTGCATATCTATCCATGCAACCAGCATGTTGCATATCTATCCATGCAACCAGCATGTTGCATATCTATCCATGCAACCAGCATGTTGCATATCTATCCATGCAACCAGCATGTTGCACATCTATCCATGCAACCAGCATGTTGCATGTCTATCCATGCAACCAGCATGTCTATCCGTGCACATCCCCGTCTTCAAGTTCGTGCCAACGGGTGCCCGTTCAAGTTCGTGCCCCACCATCCTGCGGTCGCATCGCAGCACATCGCTCGTTCAGCTTCATGCCCATTGGCTGCGATGGGACTGCACGATGGTGAACCAGCTACGATGGTGAACCAGCTACGATGGTGAACCAGCTACGATGGTGAACCAGCTTCGATGGTGAACCAGCTACGATGGTGAACCAGCTACGATGGTGAACCAGCTACGATGGTGAACCAGCTACGATGGTGAACCAGCTACGATGGTGAACCAGCTACGATGGTGAACCAGCTACGATGGTGAACCAGCTGCGCTCGTGAGGCCTCGATATATCGCTCATTCCCCCTCAGCGCGAGAGTACATGCATACAGATCCATCCCATGTCCCTATCCGCCCATGTTCCCATGCTCCTCGCCTCCCGCCCTCGCCCAACCAGTCTCCAAGCCGCCATTATCGTTCGGGCAGCGCCTGGCGATAGGAGCGGAGGTGGCGCGGGCGATCAAGTACCTGCATGCCTTGACGCCTCCTGTGCTGCACCGGGACATCAAATCAGAGACAATTCTGCTGGATAACGACTTCAAGGTGCACTCGGGCCTCGTTATGAGCTGATTCGTTATCTCCTATAATTTGGTGCACAACTGTCGGTGCGAATCGTTGTTTTGACTACATACATAGGGTTATTTGGATCATTGCTTCCTTATCCTAACATCCTTTTGAGGCGCCTCAAAATACACCTCAAGGCCACGCAGCTGTTTATGTGCTCCTTGACTCTCCTTCTACTTCCCTTCTCTCGTGTCTCTCGCACACGGCAGCATGTCAAAGTGGGGGAAAAGCATGGTGAAGCTTCCTCTGGGAAAGGCCGTGCTTCTGTTTCTGTGGCACTCTGACTTCTCTGCAGCTCATATGATTACTCCCTTGATCTTCCACTTGGTTTATGTCTGTTTCTTCTTGCCTCTCCATCAGGTCAAGGTGGGCGGGCTGGGCGTGCTGAACCAGCTACCAGGGGAGGCCGTGAGGCTGCTGCTGCGACATTCTAACTGCATTACAGCTTACACAAATACTCTCTTGCCCTATTCTTCCACTTTCATAACAGGTCAAGCTGGGCGGGCTGGGCGTGCTGAAGCACCTGCCAGGGGAGGCCATGCGGCTGCGCATGCAGCGCAAGCGAGGCTACCTGGACCCGGAATACTTCCAGAGCTTCCGAATCACTAGCAAATGCGACGTGTACAGGTGCGTGGGGACTCATTGGGTGTGCAGTTAAATTTAAAAATTGTACCATATACACAAACTCATTACCTTTCCACGCTGATTTTTCAACGCAGTTTCGGAGTGGTGCTGCTGGAGTTGATTACAGCGAAGCTGCCAATAGTGGATGAGAAGGACGTTGTCATGGGATCCCGCACCAGCAAGCGATTCGTTACCCTTGTGCAGTGGGTGAGTTACGCTCTAACACGGCGTTACCATTACGTGGCATTACCATTACACGGCGTTACCATTACGTGGCGTTACCATTACGTGGCGTTACCATAATGTGGCGTTACCATTAAGTGGCGTTACCATTACGTAGCATTTCCATTACGCGGCGTTACCATTACGCGGCGTTACCATTACGCGGCGTTACCATTACGCGGCGTTACCATTACGCGGCATTACCATTACGCGGCATTACCATTACGCGGCGTTACCATTACGCGGAGTTACCATTACGCGGCGTTACCATTACGCCGCGTTACCATTACGCCGCGTTACCGTTACGCCGCGTTACCATTACGCCGCGTTACCATTACGGCATTACCATTACGCGGTGTTACCATTACGCGGCGTTACCATTACGCGGCGTTACCATTACGCGGCGTTACCATTACGCTGCGTTACCATTACGCGGCGTTACCATTACGCGGCGTTACCATTACGCGGCGTTACCATTACGCGGCGTTACCATTATGCGGCGTTACCATTACGCCGTGTTACCATTACGCGGCGCGTTACCATTACGCGGCGTTACCATTACGCGGCGTGTTACCATTACCCGGCGCGTTACCATTAGGTGGCGTTACCATTACGTGGCTTCGTTACCACTACGCTTCGTTACCACTACGCTTCGTTACCATTACGCGGCGTTACCATTACGCGGCGTTACCATTACGCGGCGTTACCATTACGCGGCGCTACCATTGCGCGGCGCGTTACCATTACGCGGCGTTACCATTACGCGGCATTACCATTACCCGGCGCGTTACCATTAGGTGGCGTTACCATTACGTGGCGCTACCATTATGCGGCGTTACCATTACGCGGCGTTACCATTACGCGGCGTTACCATTACGTGGCGTTACCATTACGTGGCTTCGTTACCATTACGTGGCTTCGTTACCATTACGTGGCTTCGTCACCACTACGCTTCGTTACCACTACGCTTCGTTACCATTACGCTTCGTTACCATTACGCGGCGTTAGCACTACACGGCGTTACCATTACGCAGCATTACCATTACGCGGCATTACCATTACGCGGCATTACCATTACGCGGCGTTACCATTACGCGGCGTTACCATTACGCGGCGTTACCATTACGCGGCGTTACCATTACGCGGCGTTATCATTACGAGGCGTTACCATCACGCGGCGCGTTACCATTACACGGCGTTACCATTACGCGGCGTTACCATTACGTGGCGTTACCATTACGCGGCGTTACCATTACGCGGCGCGTAACCATTAGGTGGCGTTACCATTACGTGGCGCTACCATTACGTGGCGTTACCATTACGCGGCATTACCATTACGTGGCATTACCATTACGTGGCTTCGTTACCATTACGTGGCTTCGTTACCACTACGCTTTGTTACCACTACGCTTCGTTACCATTGCGCATCGTTACCATTACGCGGCGTTAGCACTACCCGGCGTTACCATTACGCGGTGTCACCATTACGTGGTGTTACCATTACGCGGCGTTACCATTAAGCGGCATTACCATTACGTTGCGTTACCACTACGTCGCGTTACCATTACGCGGCGTTACCGTTACGCAGCGTTGCCATTACGCAGCGTTGCCATTACGCGGCGTTGCCATTACGCGGCGTTGCCATTACGCGGCGTTACCATTACGCGGACGTTACCATTACGCGGCGTTACCATTATGCGGCGATACCATTACGCGACGACACCATTACGCCGCGTTACCATTACGCCGCGTTACCATTACGCCGCGTTACCATTACGCCGCGCTACCATTACGCGGCGCTACCATTACGCCGCGTTACCATTACGCGGCGTTACCATTACGCCGCGTTACCATAACGCCGCATTACCATTACGCCGCGTTACCATTACACCGCGTTACCATTACGCCGCGTTACCATTACGCGGCGTTATCCATTACGTGGCGTTACCATGACGCGGCGTTACCATTACGCGGCGTTACCATTACGCGGCGTTACCATTACATGGCGTTACCATTGCGCGGCGTTACCATTACGCGGCGTTACCATTACGCGGCGTTACCATTACGTGGCGTTACCATTACGTGGTGTTTCCATTGATGATCCTCGTTCTACCGCATTGTCTTATGACACTTGAGCATTTCAGCAATGCTAGTACTGTAACATCCTTGTTTCATCACAAACATAGCCTTCCGTGCCATCTTTTCGTGCCACCATTCCAGGCCCTTCCAAGGATCAAGGAGGGGCAGTACAACGACATGGTTGACCCGCGCCTGGGAGCGTACCCCGGGGACCTCTGTGGCATTGCAGCACCCAACTGAACCGCATCCCACCCTTCTGTGCCACCATTCCAGGCCCTTCCGAAGATCAAGGAGGGGAAATATAATGACATGGTGGACCCGCGCATGGGAGCGTACCCCGTGAGGATGACATTTGAGGCGTCTCAAAAAACTCCTCCCACCTTTCCGTGCCACCATTCCAGGCCCTTCCGAAGATCAAGGAGGGGAAGTACAACGACATGGTGGACCCGCGCCTGGGAGCGTACCCCGGGGACCTCATGGAGATCTTCTGTGGCATTGCCGCACAGTGCGTGACTCCGCAGCGCAAGAACCGACCCGACATCGACGTGGTGTCTGCTTGGATGGACGAGCTCATTCAGAAGGATGCTGCCTCGCGAGAGCCGCTCTCTCGGTTCATGCGAGCGGTGCCAGAAGAGGAGGAAGTGGAGGAGGATGAGGAAGCGGGGGAGGTGGGTGAGGTGGTGAAGGGAGGGAAAGAGGTGGTGGTGGTGATGACAGAGGAAGCTGGTGATGGGGAGAAGGTCGGGGAAAGGAGCAAAGAGAGGCCCAAGGATGGCCCTCTTCCTGGTGGTGGGACTGAGGTTGCTGCTTCTTCGGCTGATTCGGTTAGTGCCCAAACAGATACCGGTATTGGCATCAGCGCAGGTGCTGCCGCTGTCAGTGCTGAGGTTTGCATCGGAGTCGATGGAAATGTGGCACCGGCTCAAAAAGAGGACGACCGTGTGGGTGTAGAGGTTTATGCTGGACTTGGGACTTAGATCCCCTTTTCAGTTGCATTGTACCATAATAATGCCAATGTGGCATCAGCGAGACATTTCATGGTACCGTATCAAATCTGGATTGTTGGAGTGGGTCTGGGCAATATGTTGTGGTCAGGGGATCGTGTGCATTCTGTAGTTCCAACATAAATGTGTGTTTTGGTTTGATTTCTTACCGGTATGCTTTTAAAGTGCACAACTGTCATTCCACAATACAGTACACCCTGACAAGAAAGCTTCCCAGTTTTAGTCATCTGCTTTGCAGGTGAAATAAAATACGACACTCCAATTGCATCGTGCTTCAATGGAGCTTCAGCGGAGGACCCAAGGTGCGGTGCGAGATGAATAATATTGGCTCTCGGGGGACAGAAAACCAGCAGCAACTGAGTGGCAGGATACCACACAATGCAACACAGAGACACCTACAAAATGATACAGAGTGGGAGCCCTATCATCAAACACTGGCAAGAGACCAGCATTGTAAGAGATATCACTGGGCTCCGAGAGTATACGGTATCACATTTTCATAAACTAGGACACGGTGCGGCCGTAGCTGATGGATGAAATGTATAGATTCTTCGCCCATTTTTCCTGCATATGGGTAAGATGCACTGTGGTAAGTACACGCAAAGCGTACACACCAACAAAAAGCAGGGCTGTCTGAACACTGACCTTAACATGTGTGCTTGGAAAGGCTGAAGTTCTCAAAGTCTCCTGAGTCTCATCCGCAGGACGGCGCCTCGGGATGCTTAACAGAAAGGCAGCTTGATCCCAAGTTGCTGCAGTCGCTGTAATCCGGTAACCAGCATCCCATCGGCGGTGGATCCCTTCACTCGGGTACAAAAAGTCGAGCTCAACCACCTGGGGGTAAAGACAATAAGGAGGTTTAACCAAACGATATTGATGGGCGGCAAAATTCAATGAAACATTTGGCTACATACCTGATCTGTGAAGCCAGCATTCCGTGACATAACCACCCCCCATCTGCTGCCTGCAGTTGCCATGGATGTGACATAGAAGCCTTCCCTCCATTTCTTGTTGATCCACTTGAAGGGGAACGAGTCACTTACTTTGTATGATTGTTGTGTATAGGATGTTCCTGTTAGCACAACACAAACACGCAATTGAGCTACAACTCCTGAAGCCAACCATGACAAAAATATGGGATACCTCACCTTTAGACATAACCACCAAGGAATTGCCATTGCTGGCCCCTGCAATTGAGGTAATGTAGAAGTTCCGCTCCCATTGCTCCATAATCCATTCCTGTAGAAACAACTCGGCCATTAGCCTGGGCATTGAATACAGAAGCATAAAAGGGGGACTGGAAGCTAAAAAAAGCAGACCTTTGGAAGGAAGACATGTGAGAGTTCATAGACTTGCGAAGTGAAGTTTGTGCCAGCATCCATGATGAGAGCCCACAAATTCTGACATGATGCTACACTGCTAATAAAAAGCCCGTCCTCATTTCCTTTCTCCACATGTTGTGCTAGTCTCGCATCAGCCACGTTGTAGTGGTATCTGAAAAAAAAAGGCACAACGCACAGGAACAAAGGATCATGCTTAATACAGCATAAGCAGGAATAAGTGGGGCTGGGGGGAATGAATGAGGATAAATAAGGATACAGAAGAAGTGGGAGAAAAATAATCAAGGTTGGGTAATGGATGAGGATCCTCTGTGGTCTGTACCTATCATTCATGTCTTCGTACCTTTGCTTCATTGGCCGACGAGCACTGTACACAGAGATCCACTGCGTGGCAGGCATTCCAAGCCTAACCTTCTTCTTTGGTTGGTCGTCAGCTTCCTCTTCTGCTGTCAAACGTCCTCGCTTCTGACCCACCTGCAAAACAAGGATGCAAGTTCAGAATCCTAGCCTGGTGAAATTGCGAAAAAATACGCACAACGTCACTGGCTATGCACCTTCAAAGCGCCTTCTGTGTCAATAGGCCGATGCGCCGGGATGGGTCCCAAAACAGGGTCGAACATTGCAATGCACTTGGCATAGTTTGGCTCCTCATCGAATTTCAAATTCACCACATACTCCAGAAAGAGCTTGAACGGAACTGGACAAAAGCAGCACAGCATTTCAGGAGATGTGGCCATCTTCTTCTTGCAAACCAGGAAGCCCTTGTTGTCTCCCTGCTCAGTCAAAACAGTTCCCACATTAGCAGCAGCAGAAAGTGCTAGCAGATGACCTTTCGGTCAGAAATACTCACCTGATAGCCCTGCCATGGCAAGCGACCCCGTAGAAGGAAAACCAGAGTGTAAGCCAGGGACTCTAGATCATCTCTTCTACTGCCTGTGCGGCCAAGATGCGCATGAACACTGGCATATCGGACGGTTCCCCTGCACGAGAAGAAAGGAGTCTCACATTGTCACACGGGACCGAAAGCACCATAAAAGGCAAATCGGCTAGTGCACGGACATCATGAGCACCTGAATATGTCTGGACGTTGATCATACTCCACATGCTGACCAGAAGTCGCGTCTTTCCATCGTGTTGCTGCATACTCCAATAATTGATATTAGTACAAACGAAACAGCGGAATATCTGGCGACATAATGGTTTTATATACATTACCGAGTCCGAGGTCAACAAGGTATAACTTCTTCTCGTCGGGAGATCCTGGTTGCCCTAGAAGAAAGTTTTCTGGCTTCACGTCTCCATGGACGTATCTGAAATAGCAACAAAGAGCAGATAAATTACCCCCAGTTTACGTCTCATGGAACAAGGCAGGCAAACCAGCTCGCATTCTACTTACCCCCGTGCGTGCAATTTCTCGAGAATAGAAAGAGCTTCCACGGCAATGCATGCTACCATTTCCGTTGACATCCTGAAATCGTCGATGGCACGATGTTAGAGGAGCTAGCAGTGTAAGAAGGTTAATCGAAATAAGAAATTCCCTTACGCTTGATTGGAATTGTTCCAGACGTCCCACAAGCTCGGTCCGAGCATATCCATGACCTGTACGCGAAGATTCATAGCACTTTAGGACAAGGCTGGAATTCGGAATAAGGATGACGTTGAAGCTCTGGGAGATGCGCACCATGACGTAGTAGTCGCCTTGTCTGCCTTTGTAGTGAACCCTAGGAACTCCATGACTCCCTCCAAGCGTGCTGTCATGACGGAAGTTCGTTAAGTTAAGAGATGCGGGTTCCGAAGATACCAAACGTGCATAGACGACGTTGACTTACTTGTAAACTTGCCACTCGTACGGAGGCCCATAATTACATCCCTTGCTGCTTCTATGCTCGAATTTCAGTGCTACCTGCGATCAAAAGAACGATCTACTGAAGGTTCTGGGACTAGTTAAGAATCACACGGACTGGAAAAGAAGCTATTGCGTTCACTACCTCGACAGCATGAGGGCCAACACGCTCCGTCCCTCCATGAACTCTACGACCCACGTAAACTTGACCAAAACCTCCCTTTCCCAGCTTCCGATCCATCTTGTACACTGGTGATCCGCCGACTTGAACCTGTGAACCAAAACGAGAGGGCCATTAAGAACCGTGGCTTGGATTTACGGGGAAAACATGCTAGATGGGTGTGTACCCTTTCCGGAAGCGGTGCGATTCCGCCATCATCTTCCGCGGGTTTCTCTCCCGTCTTCTTCTCACTTTCACCTTCCATAAGAGCAGCAAGTCACAGCAACAAGCTAATGCCAACAAATGGACCTTTCTGAAGTGCTAACACAAGCTAAGCAGACACATTAGCTGCTAGGGTTAGAAGCGCTGGGTTGGAGGGATCCGTGAGTTGCTGATGTGGTGGTGGTGGGTGTGGAAGGAGAGCCACGGATGATCTAGAAGGGGTGATGCCATCATTCCATCCGTTCTGGCAGGGAAAGGCGAAAACAGGACAGAAAATAAGCGGGGAAATTGAGAAAAATCGTCAGAATACGGCAAGCTTTCGACGGATCGCGTTTACTCGCCCGGTCTCCCCTTCCCAAACCACCTAGCTTGGTTCGGATAAAAAAAATCCTGATGAGAAAATTCCTTGTTTAAGATAAGCTCATATACACACCAGTTTCGAATGAACGAAACTGTATGCACAATAATGTCGAAGCCATCCATGGGCCACTTTGAAGTGTACTTCTGTTTGTCTAGCCAACCACATTGTCGAATACACCACATAAAACCCCGCAGAAGAACGCAGAACCACAACTCTTTACGGCAAACTTCGAAGTCAAGCAGAAGCTGGTTTCGGCTCTGTACGGCAATTTTCTTCATGACTGGCTGTCTTCCTCGCTTTTCCAGACCATTACCCACGTCTTATGAAGGCTAGGCACGGTAATTTTTGCTGCATGTTGACCTTCTCAGTGGCGCGCTGAAAACGAAGCCTATGCTTTTCTAAGATCGTTAGACTGCGATCTTATTGGTCAGTTATTTATGGTCGGCTCGTTGTTTCTCAGAGTTCGTAGGTGACAAGGGTGGTTGTGCCATGGGAAAAGCTGTGAAAGAAGCGACGCACTGTATGTGTTTATAGGCCGTCTAGTGAAACTCTAGTGTTAATTTCCGTCAGCATGGGCTGTTGTGTGTCTATAGACGAGGAGGTCGTACGGCCGGCCACACCACGCAAGCCTGAGACTCCTAGAGAGAGTAAGTAAAACGCAACTGAGTCTGTTCGCACGGATCCGGTTGTCTGTTATTTTTCAATAATTGAAGTCGCCCTATTGTCGCCGTGTCAGGTTCTGTATCCCACGTCTATTGTAACATTACTTACCCAAGCCCTATTGCCATCCTGCCATTGCAAATTGCCCTTTACCCATGCCCTATTGTCACCCTTCTTTTGCAAATTCCCCTTTTTCCCTCCACAGCGATCAAGAGACAATCGACTGGTGATCACCCCGTCGGTTCCTTTAACGATATAATAGGCTCTAGCACCTCCTCAAGCCAGCATCAGCGCGTTGCCTCGGGAGGAGGCAGTGGAGCCGCGTCTGTAGGAGAGAGCAAGCGATCAAACGGGTCAGCACCCGGGAGTCAAGTTGGCACGAGTGTTGGTCACTCAGACGCTGGTCGCGTGATCATCAGCGTAGGACACCACAGCGGCTCCGGGACAACTGAGCTGAGTATTGACGCCTCGTTAAGAGAATTCTCGTTCAAGGAGCTGGAGAAAGCAGCAAAGGGTTTCAGAGACGATGGAAAGCTTGGCGAGGGAGGGTTTGGGAGCGTGTATAAAGGGACTATTGATGCAAACAAGTCTGGAGGAGGGCAAAAGGTCGCCATTAAGATGCTGACGCTGGACGGAACACAAGGGGACCAGGAATGGATGGTAAGTCTCGATGGGGGAAGAGAGGTTCCGTCGATGTGGGAGGCGGAATGGTCACCTGAACGGAGGATTGTACTCACGAGAACTTCTTATGATGTTATAGTTTAACCGAAGTTGCCATCTACTGTATCGTCCACACTCGACTGTATCTGTTCTGACCCGCAGCATTCAGATCCCATCGTTTACATTTACCTCTCCTTACCTTACCAGGCTGAGGTTCGGTACCTGGGAGAGCTTCGGCATCCGAACCTGGTGCGGCTAGTAGGGTACTGTGCAGAGGACATGCAGCGTTTGCTGGTGTATGAGTTCATGGAGTATGGCAGCCTCGAGCGATACCTCTTTTCGCGTAAGCAGCATCCCTGCCTGCACTATTACCCAGCTGATGTTTCCCTCAGTTTCCCTGCTTGCTTCTGAGACACGTTATGCCGCTAGTTTCTTACTTCACTGAAAGCTTTTCACATCAGGCTTGACCAGCAATGCCTCTTTTGACAGACTCCAGTTGACTCGGTTGATTGGTGCAGGCAGCCGGGACCCATTGCCATGGGACATTCGCATGAAGGTGGCACTGCATACTGCTCGCGGCCTTGCATTCCTGCATGAAGAGACGGAGCCGCAGGTCATCTACCGGGATTTCAAGACATCCAACATCCTCGTGGACAGGGTCAGTCTTTGCTGATTGAGGTTGCTACCAAGGAGAATGTTGCTTGATGTTTGTCAGGGGGAATGCTGCCAGAGACGTTGCCAAGGGGAAGGATGCAGAGAATGCTGCAAGAAGTTTGTCAATGGGAACGCTGCTAGGAGCGCTGCCAATGGGAGTGCTGCTAGAATTGCTGCTGAGGTGATCGCTGCCAAGGGGAATGCTGCTGATTTCGTTGCCTGGGGACATGCTGCTAGGAATGTTGCCTCGGGCAATGGTGCCAGAGATTATGCCATAGGGTGTTGGTCCCGATGCCAGGTCGGATCCAGCACTGCACTCGCTAATCACGTTTTTCACCTCTCTGCCTTCCACCTGTCTGTCCATTCCCTTCACTCCTTTCCCTTCCCGCTCTCTCTCCCTGCAGGAGTTCAATGCGAAGCTGTCTGATTTTGGGTTGGCAAGGGATGGGCCCCAGGGAGGCAACACACATGTGTCCACACGAGTCATGGGCACATTCGGCTATGCTGCCCCCGAATATGTGCTCACCGGTATGTACTTGCTGCTGCCCTGTCAGTTCAATCTACCGCTGTTTAGATTCTGTTTCAGTCTATATAGCCAATTTGCGGCTTTTTCTCAAGTAAACCAGTCTGTTACACTTTTTTTGCAGAGTATCACCAATTCCCCCTGCTGCCTCCCTTAAAACCCTTCCTTCTCAAGTAGACGCATCCTGTGTGTGCGTGTGACCCGGCACCCCCCAGGCCACCTGACAGCCAAGTCGGACATCTACAGCTTCGGCGTGGTGCTGCTGGAGATCATTGCCGGGCGCAAAGCCATGGAGCAGCAGCTGGTCCGGTCAGAGCAGAACATCATTGACTGGGCGCGGCCCTACTTCCGTGACCGCTCCCAACTGCCACGCCTCCTTGACAAGCGCATTGTGGCAGCCGCCCAGGCCAAGCAGCAGCCCATGCCGCTGGCTAAAGCGGTGGCGAAGGCGGCGGTGATTGCGCAGTGCTGTGTGAAGGTGGAGCCCAAGGAGAGGCCCGCCATGTCTGATGTGGTCAGATCCTTGGAAGCTGTGTTGCAAATGTCTGTGCCTGCTGCACCTCCTGCTGGAGGCACATAGCATCGATGCAGCCTCTGTTGCACTTGCATGTCAGTGTGTAGGTTAGAAGAGATGACTGCACCACAGCCTCCACTTGGCAGGTTTCTTAGCTAAGCCAGGTAGATAAGTTAACCGCTGTGAGTGGTTAGCATGTGGTTAGAATAAATGTGGCTTGTGATAAGGTGACCATGGAGTGTTTGCATGTTTACAACCAGCAACAGGGAGTTGATGCTTGCAGGTTGAGATCATGCCAAAGCATATAGATGAAAATTACTTCAGGGCGCTCGTCTCACTGAGGCTACATCAAACTCCTACGCTAACCTAGCCATACTTTGTTCTAGCCAAGTCCTAGACAAATGGAATGGCTTACTGGTAGGTGGTGGTGATGAGATTACAATAACATGGGGGGGAAGCCTGAGTGTTGCGTGATGCCTGCATTAACTTAACAAAATAATGAAAACCTGAACAATATGCTTTCACTGAAACGTATTCCCTGCATGACATAAAAATCAAGGCATCAAACAGATGGTTAGCAATGAGCAGTGGAAGCAACGGCTGTGTGGAAGAGCCTTGCCAAAAATGCAGTGGGAACAGTCCAACTGACCTGAAGAGGCGTTCCGCTTGCACTCAGTAAGCATGTCCAGGTAGAATTGGCATTTGGAGATGTCGCTCCCATGCATCTCCACACACTGCCCAGAACAGACAAGCAGTGAGGGGCATTGTGAAGCCCCGAACCCAAAGCAATCCTGCATTGCTTCCCATGAACGACAGATCTTTCGGGAATATTTCAGATCTCTCGCACTAAGGCCTACCTTGTTGAAATCCTGCTGCAGCTGAGCGCAGTCCGACGGCGAGCTGGCAGTCGCAGGAGCGGCAGCAGGCGCGGCGGCAGGCGCGGCGGAGTTGACGTGCTCGTGCACGACAGTGCGCGGACCCATGATGGCATCCACCGCTCTGTTGGCAATGGCGGATCCTGTTCCGAACGCCATGCCCTCTCCCACCGTCTGCATCAACCCACCCAGCATGCTCCCCCCTCCGGAGGCTGCTGCTGGCTGCGCTGGGGGAGTCGCTGGTTGCGCCGCTGCGCAACCAATCGGGAAGGAGGGAACACGAGAATGCGAGGTGTCATGAGAAGAGGCGAGGTTGAGAATCTGAAAGCAGGAGCTGAAGATCTGACTAATCTGGATGGATCAGGCACGAAGATCTGACTAACGGGCGATAACGGTCCAATCTGATGGAGTACCAGGTGCGGGTGGAGGCGCGGAGTGAGTGTGCGATGCAGGTGCTGGCCTCGGCGCTGGTCTCGTTGGAGCAGAGGCCCTCGATCCTGCCGGCGAGAGCGATAAACGCAGACAGAAAGACACATGATTCAGAGGTAACGGAATGTCGGTGACCACGTACGAATCATAATGAATCGAGATACTGGTCACAAGAAAGAAACGCATACCAGAAGATCTGCTGGTTGCACGCGGCATCCTGTCTAGTGAACGGTAGCGAAGAGATAGAAACGGGGTGAGGAAACACAGCGATCGCTGGATCCCGCAGCGAGAATGCTTCAGAACGTAAGGTAGGTGGGAAGAGCTAGTGTGACGTCTGAAGATGGGCGAACTCGTTCAAACAGAAGTTATGGCGAACTCGACAAGAACTGTCCGTGAGAAGGAAGAATGAGAAGCAGCGATAACAGGTGTCCTCGAGGTTGCTTGGTTGGTTTGGGCCGTCAGTGTAATCAAGGAGTCACGACTTACGAAGACTTGACAGCCTTCACAGCGATGGCGACAGCTTTCGCAACACGCAACCACCAATTGATTGCCACCGCCCCTCCAGAATGTTCGGCACCCAATCATCGGTGATTTGTGCACTCCCCTAGTCGAAAAATCCGCGCTATACAGAGACCCTTTCAGCACACGGTAGATTGTTCCACTTTTCAGATACCAAATGCACCAATCTTACAAGTGGTGCCAGTGTCAGATTATAACGCGTCGTAAGGGAAGCGCACATGCGTACCGGAAAGAATAATCTGACAACCTGAAGTTCGGATTTTCTGTTGACTATAGTTACTACCTGCCGCGATTCCTCCATTCTACGGTCGCGATTCGTGCATAGTCCTGCTGCTCGGCGTCTATCCCTTTGTCCACATTCGGTGCGCTTGAGATTAGCAGGCGCGCTCATGGCGACGACAACCCAGCCGCTGCTGCCATCCCAGGCAGACTCCGTAGATGACCTCTTCCGCGCCACGCCCGCTCTTTCCCACGAATACAGCGGCGTCGCTCCAGCCAGCGTCGCCAGCGTCGCCAGCGTCGCCAGCGCCGCCAGCGCCGCCATCCCCCCGCCGCGCCCGCAGAACACGCTGACGGGTGAGTCGGGCCGTGAGTCAGGGGAACCTGTCGCATGGGAAGTCAGTCGCATGGAGAGTCAGTCGCACGGGGAATCACTCGCTTTGGAAGTCAGTCGTCTCAACGGCCCCGCATTTCATTTCAGTCCTACTCCTCCCCTCCTGGCTTCCCCTCCCACCAGAGCAGTGCAGTGAGTGAAGGGACGTGCAGTGAGTGAAGGGACGTGCAGTGAGTGAAGGGACGTGCAGTGAGTGAAGGGACGTGCAGTGAGTGAAGGGACGTGCAGTGAGTGAAGGGACGTGCAGTGAGTGAAGGGACGTGCAGTGAGTGAAGGGACGTGCAGTGAGTGAAGGGACGTGCAGTGAGTGAAGGGACGTGCAGTGAGTGAAGGGACGTGCAGTGAGTGAAGGGACGTGCAGTGAGTGAAGGGACGTGCAGTGAGTGTGGGTGAATCTTGAGTCAAAGAAGAGATTCCCCCCTTCCATTCCATTCATCTTCCCCCAACGTATCTTTCCACCAGACCCCGTGTCGTTAACCCTGTGGAGGGACGTACAGCGCGTGTGCACGAATCTGAGTAGATTCCAGAAATTCCCTTTTTCCATTCCACTCTTTCCCCCCCTCCCACCAGAGCCCGTATCAGAATTCCTTTGGAGGGACGTGCAGTGAGTTGGGTCAAATTTCGAGCCTTCGTTCCATTCACCTCCTCCTTTCCCCCACACTTCCTCCCACCAGAGCCTGTATCAGTAACCCTATGGAGAGACGTGCAGCGAGTGTGGGTGAACCTGCGGTGTGTGCTTATACCGAGTGAACGGAGCTCCCTCAGAGACTGGGACCTGTGGGGGCCGTTCTTCTTTATAATCACCCTCGCGCTGCTGCTCTCCTCGTCTGCCACACACAACAAGGTGAGCATAATGGACGCAGATCAAGGTGAGTGTAGCGACGGCAGAGCTGTGCAGAGCTGTGCAGACTTGCATTATCCACCGGCATGCGACTTGCAAACTGTCTGCGCCGTTCCATCTTGCATGTGCTAAAGAAAGGGTTCTCACTAATTGAGTGACTCACTCGTTCTCTGTGCGTCACAGGCGCATGTGTTTGCGGTGGTGTTCGGAACAGTGTCAGCAGGAGCCGTTGTCCTCACTCTCAATGTGCAGCTGCTGGTGAGTGCCTCATAAGCATTATGGCACACACTCGCGCACACACTCACGCACACACTCACGCACACACTCAGGCACACACTCAGACACACACTCAGGCACACACTCACGCACACACTCACGCACACACTCACGCACACACTCACGCACACACTCAGCCAGACACATGTTCGTCCCTGCTCCCGTTCTCTCTCGCCACCTCATTGCCCGTCGTGCTTCCCCTGGCACACGTGTACCCATAAGCATCTCACTGCACCCCTTAGGCTGCCCCATGCACAGGCATGTCCCTCTGCATCTCACTGCACCCCTCATGGACCCCCGCCTCATGTCTTTTCATTTGCGTCACATCTCTCTCCTGCACCCCTCTCCCTCACACCACAGGGCGGGCGCATCATATTCTTCCAGAGCCTCTCCCTGCTCGGCTACTGCCCCTCACACACATACGCCCCTTTGCACCTCACTGCACCCCTCATGTCGCCCTGCGTATCTTTCTCTCTCTCTCTCCTGCACCCCTCTCCCCCTCACCACAGGGCGGGCGCATCATATTCTTCCAGAGCCTCTCCCTTCTCGGCTACTGCCTCGTGCCTCTCGACCTTGCCGCCCTCCTCTGCCTACTCACCACCGCCAAGCTCGCCCGCATGGCGCTCGTATTAGTCACATTCGCTTGGAGCTCCTCGGCTGCATACCCGTTCGTGGCGAAGGCTGTTCCTGAGACTCGCAGGGTGCTGGCAGTGTACCCTGTGTTCCTGCTCTACACTGCTATTGGCTTCCTTGTGCTCGCTAATGACTAGCGTACCAGCACAGCAATACCTCGCAGAACAGCAGACAGCACAGCAGTTCCTTACAGAACAGCAGACAGCACAGCAATTTCTTACAGAACAGCAGACAGCACAGCGATTCCTTACAGAACAGCAGACAGCACAGCAATTCCTTACAGAGCAGCAGACAGCACAGCGATTCCTTACAGAACAGCAGACAGCACAGCAATTCCTTACAGAACAGCAGACAGCACAGCAATTCCTTACAGAACAGCAGACGGCACAGCAATTCCTTACACAACAACTGACAGCACAGCAATTCCTTACCGCAGGGTGCTGGCTGTGTACCCTGTCTTACTCGTAGGTGTGACTTTGACTTTGCCTGCACTCGGCTGTAGCGGACTTTCAAGGCGTCTCAGAATCGCAAAGCAGCAACTGGCTCACGCGGCTTGCTCCTGACGACATTGATTTCGCCTGAACTCGGCTCTAGGGAAAGGGGAGGCGTGCACTCGGCTGTAGCAGACACGTTAGGAGGTGTGCAGTACAGGGTATGGAGTAGAGGAGTGAGGAAGTACGTAGGTGTGTGAACGACTTCACTTCGGCATGCTGTTACTGTGTTGATGGGTAGGGACTTCCATGAGTCACTGTTGGGTGGTCGGTCAGCACTAAGTGGAGACACAAGTGGCATTGTCCCATGTTTGAGAGGACACGTTGCCATGTCAGAAGGAATTAGCCTCTGTTGCGTGTTCCTGATTGTTTTGCTATGATTTAATGAACTGAATGTGAAGGGTCCCGCTAATCTGTGATGTTAGAAGTCCTTCATTTCCTGTTTATCAGCAACGCTGCAGCATGTGCTTGCCTGGTGTGCGTTACCTAGTTTCAATCGTGCATGCTGAGACCTACCGGTAGTTGTCTGTTTAATGACCTAACCAGAGCTACCATACCATCACTATCTAGGCAACAATAATCTAAAATATAAAAATAAAATCATAATAGAGCTCTCGACGGTCTTGGGTCTTTTGGGCCCCTCTTGGCCACTAGGGGGGTTAACCCCTAGTGATACACCCACACACCGCGTTGAGGTGGGGACCCTTCGTGTGGGACTGCAGCCCCTAAGCGACACGAGCCGGGCTGCAGCGTCCCACAGCCCAGCTCAGACCAGGTGGCGTAACACCTGGCCCGGCGAAGGCGGGGTGAGGAGGCCGTCAGAGTTCAGGGAGTGTCCCCCCATCCCTCGTCAGAGCACTCACTCACACACAGGGGCGCTTCAGGCGCGGGCCGCGTCCGACCCAATGCCGTCAGCCACCCCTGCCGCACAAAACCTATGCCGCAGTCGGGGGCGGTCTTCGGGTCTTGGACCCTGCCAGCTGCAGAGCGACACACAGCACAAAACAAACACAACACACAATCAAGTGAAACAGGCACGACGAAGCAGAAAAAACAGAAAGAAAGCAACACAAATTTGAGAACGAAAGCAAGACAAAACGGACAAGGGAAGAAGGTCACCTCTGTCCTTGTGCCGCCCGCTGTGCCGCCCGCCGTGTAGACCTCCGCGCTACCCGCCATGCTGAAGGGAATGGAAGGGGGAGATTAGATAGAAGCCTCTTGCTGCCCCGCGCTGCCCCCTCGCCCTCCTCGCCCCATGAGTCGACCTGAAGGGAAGGGGGGGATTAGAGAGACAAACAGAAAAAAAAGGATCAAGTGAAACATGCACGACAAATACATGAAATGCGAAAAACAGAAAGAAAGCAAGGCGGAAACGAACAAGGGAAGAGATGCTTACCTTGCTGAAGCGATGAATCAGCATCTCACCTCCGTCCGTGCCGCCCGCCGTGTCGTCTCCACGCCCGCCATGCTGAAGGGAATGGAAGGGGGGGGGTTAACCAGAGGGACGCCTCTTGATGCGCGCGCGCTGCCCCATCGCCCTCCTTGCCCCACGAGTAGACATCAAGGGAATGGAAGGGGGGGGGGGGGGGGGGGAGGGTGGAGAGACAAACAGAAACAAAAGGATCAAGTGAAACATGCACGACAAATACATGAAATGCAAAAAACAGGAAGAAAGCAAGGCGGAAACGGACAAGGGAAGAGGCGTACCTTGCTGAAGTGATAAATCAGCACCTCACCTCCGTCCGTGCAGCCCGCCGTGTCGTCTCCACGCTGCCCGCCATGCTGAAGGGAATAGAAGGGGGGGGGTTAACCAGAGGGACGCCCCTTGATGCGCGCGCGCTGCCCCCTCGCCCTCCTCGCCCCACGTGAGGCCCTGAAGAGAAGGAAGGCGGGGATTAAGCAGAGAAGTCCTCTTGCTGCCCCGCCGCGCTGCCCCCTCGCCCTCCTCACCCCACGTGAAGGCCCGAACTGAAGGGAATGGAAGGGGGAGGAGTGAGGACGGAGTGCGGGTCAGGAGGACGTGAGACAGGCATGGAAGAGGACAGATCCAAGGGCCAAGGTGCTGGAGGTATGTGAGTAGCCCGCAGAGGCCGAGGGTGGCCCCGTGCTTCAGGACAAGACCAAGAGAGAGCTGGGCCCCCCACTCTCAAATGATCAAGCCCATCCACACCCCCTCGGCTCTGTATGACTCTCCCTCTCCATTCAGCAGCACCCCTCCTTGTAATCGCCTCAATTCCGCCCGTCAGTCTCTCCATCTCTCTCCTCCGCCTCACCCCATGGACGCAGGGGGAGAAGCCAGCACACGTGGGAGAAAGACGACTCGTCGCAGCGCCGCCTCCGCGGCTTGCCTTCGAGCGCGTGGTCAGCAGGGCGGGTAGGAGGCAGCCACACGCTTGTGACTGCCGGCCGTGCGTCATCCCACCACGCTCGCACTTCCGCGTGCCTAGGAGAGAGATGATTAGGGGAATACAGCGATACGGAAACCTGACAAAGAATGCAGGCAACGGAAAACGCAAGACGAAAAAAAACTGAAAAGCATGCATCAGGTGTGAGTGGCACACACAAGGCAGTAAGCAGCAAGCACTCTCACAACCGAACACGCAAGCACACACAAGGCAGTAAGCAGCAGGCACACTTACAACCGAACACGCAAGCACACACAAGGCAGTAAGCAGCAAGCACACTCACAACCGAACACGCAAGCACACACAAGGCAGTAAGCAGCAAGCACACTTACAACCGAACACGCAAGCACACACAAGGTAGTAAGCAGCAAGCACACTCACAACCGAATACGCAAGCACACACAAGGCAGTAAGAAGCAGGCACACTTACAACCGAACACGCAACCACACACTAGGCAGTAAGCAGCAGGCACACTTACAACCGAACACGCAAGCACACACAAGGCAGTAAGCAGCAGGCACACTTACAACCGAACACGCAAGCACACGCAAGGCAGTAAGCAGCAGGCACACTTACAACCGAACACGCAAGCACACACAAGGGAGTAAGCAGCAGGCACACTTACAACCGAACGCAAGCACACACAAGGCAGTAAGCAGCAGGCACACTTACAACCGAACACACAAGCACACACAAGGCAGTAAGCAGCAGGCACACTTACAACCGAACACGCAAGCACACACAAGGCAGTAAGCAGCAGGCACACTTACAACCGAACACGCAAGCACACGCAAGGCAGTAAGCAGCAGGCACACTCACAAGTGGCGAGAGGAGGAGGTAGTGGCAATGACGGCGAAGGCGAGCAATGAAAGAACGAGTGCAATCGTGAAAATATAGCGTGAACAAGAGTGTCAAAATATAGCGTGAAAATATAGCGTGAACAAGAGAGTCAAAATGTCAAGAGAAGAGAGATTTCTTAGACGTATTTAGGAGGGGTCGAAGCTGCATGCACGTGCGCTCGCCAGCAGCTGCACTGCTCCCTCCGCGCCTCGCCGTTCCTCCGGAGGCGAGCAGTGATCAGCAGGGCACCAGAGTGGTGCCTGCCGTGCGTCATCCCACTGCCGCCATCCCGCAGGTGCAGTGCAGCAGCCTCAGCCCCTCCAGTCGCCACCCGCCTCCGCCCCTCCAGTCGCCACCTGCCTCCGCCCCTCCAGTCGCCATTCGCCTCCGCCCCTCCAGTCGCCACCCGCCTCCGCCCCTCCAGTCGCCACCCGCCTCCGCCCCTCCAGTCGCCACCCGCCTCCGCCCCTCCAGTCGCCACCCGCCTCCGCCCCTCCAGTCGCCACCCGCCTCCGCCCCTCCAGTCGCCACCCGCCTCCGCCCCTCCAGTCGCCACCCGCCTCCGCCCCTCCAGTCGCCATCCGCCTCCGCCCCTCCAGTCGCCACCCGCCTCCCCCCCTCCAGTCGCCACCCGCCTCCGCCCCTCCAGTCGCCACCCGCCTCCGCCCCTCCAGTCGCCACCCGCCTCCGCCCCTCCAGTCGCCAACCGCCTCCACCCCTCCAGTCGCCACCCGCCTCCGCCCCTCCAGTCACCACCCGCCTCCGCGCACAGGTGCAGTGCAGCACCCATCCATCCTCCTCCACCCACCCATCGCTCCACTCCACCTCGCCTCCTCCTCGCCTCCTCCTCCGCGCCTTGCCTCCGAGTGAGTGGTCAGCAGGGCGGGTAGAAGGCAGCCACACGCCTGTGACTGCCAGCCGTGCGTCATCTTACCACGCTCGCGTCCACCTCAGCCACGTGCCGTCCACCTCAGCCACCTCAGCCACACGCCCACACGCTTCCCCTCCCTTTGCATGCGCTTGCGTTGAGTGCGCTGCATGGAACAACAAGCACGGTGGTGAGTCGAGGAACCGTGAACAAGCAAGGAAGCGAACGGAGGAAAGAAAGAAGAGACAGCAGCAACAAGGAAAGGCGGGAACACGACGAGCGACGTACCGTGAGTGTGGGCGCTGGAGGTGCTGTAGTCTGCAGCAAGGCGGGGTCTTTTCAGTCCCCAAGGTGGCGCGTTGAAGGCGCTGCAGCAACGCACGAGCGCGTACCCACGCTCGTGCAGTACACACACCTTGCTGCAAGCATGCACTCACCAGTCGAGCTCGCCCTTGCCGTTGCCGCGTGTGCCTCACACGCTCGGGCCTCTGCCCGCTTGCCTCAGGGCACTGCCCCTAGCTAGCCAATGTCC